GGGCGCCTGGGTCGGGTTGGGTTGGGCTTGGCTGGGCTGGGCTGTGCGGTGCTGCGCTGCGCTGGGCTGGGCGAGAGCGGTGGGCGGGCGAGGAGCGAGCGGCGGAGAGCGGCAAGGAAGCGAAGAAAAAGCGGGGGCCTCGCGCTGCCATCAGCTGAGAGCATGAGAGCATGCCATACCCGTCGGGACGTGCCCCCCTCGCAAAAGCAAAACCACGCAGAATACGACGAGGTAAAATAAAACAGACACGCGCTCCAGCAGCACGCACTGCTGGCACACGACCGAAGGCCAGTCGAGTCGCCCGCCCGTGCCCGCGTCACGCTTGGCTCCTGCAATTGTACACGGCCCTCACCCAGCTTTGCTCCGCCCGTCTCGCCCGGTTTACGCTGCCTGCTGCCTGGCCTGCTTCCGGACCGTCACAAGAGGCACAGACTCCATCCGTCCTCGCCGTGCTGACGTGACGTGACCTGGCCTGACTTGACTGCACTTGGGCCTTGCCGGCAAGCACCAATCAATCCCAACGAGGTGCTCCCACACCAGACAGGCGTCTTCGTTCGCGGCGACGGCTGAGACTTGTGAACGGGGAGACATCCCGCGCCGGATCGCCTGTGGACTGTGTTCGAACGAGCGTCGCTGGCTGCGTCTCGTCCAGGCTTTGCGTGACGCCAGGTACCCGTGTTACGACTGCACAGCATGGCCTACGCAAGCTCCGCTCGAGAGGTGCCGAAACGGCTTGGGTGGCTCCCCCTCGCTCCATCTGTCTTCTCGTTTTTGACAGGATTTGCCCGTCAGCAGCCACCACCTTGACGAAAGCACCTCTGCGGCTGTTGTTCGCAATTGCATCATCTGCATGGACGGCATTTGCCGATTTGGTCTCATCGTGCGTGAGAATACGGCCCGAGACATAGAAAGCATCAAAGTGGGAGAGAGCACGCGCTCTGGTTCTTCGAGATGCCCGTCAGGCCGCCGGCGTCTTTGCGTTGTTCAGCATCCGTTTCTGAGGCCGCAACGCCTTTCACGCCCACTCCTCGACCAGCCGTTGCTGAGGCTCAGCAAGCTCGACCTTGGATCACGGTACTGGCAGGAACCCTCTCACACACATGCACGCGCACACACGTATACGTGCTGTCATATAATACACACACAAAACACACACACACACACACATATATATATATATATATATGTATATGTATGTATCATAAATATAATAGGTATATACATGGAAGAAAGTAGACTGTTTCGACCATGCATGAACAGGCCCCGTTGGGGGGAAAAAAAAATAAAAAATAAAAATTCTTCACGTGAGTGACGACGTCAAGACAACCCGTTTCTACCGCCTCCACTCCGGCGTCGTGAACCTGGGTATAATCCACTCTCTTAGCAACGTCGCACCCCAGACAGGGGCCGGCTCCTCCTCAAAATCAAACACGCGCCCCCTGGACAGCATCATGCTGAATTCACCGGCGTCATGCCACTCCTGCTCCCACCTCTCCTTCTGCTGCTCGATGGCCGCCTGACTCACCAGCAGGCCGGGTATGCATCTGCGCCAGAGGCTGGCCTGTCTGCGCTCTTCATCAAGCTCGGCCACCCGCGATCTCTGCAGGTCGACCATCTTCTTTCGGTTTTCCGTCCCGACCGACAGAGATTTGATGCACTTGATCTTGCCCTCGCGACTCGTCCTCGGGTCTTGGTAACCCCAGTACGCCAGTTCGACGGCTGACTTGGTCCACGACAGGCCCGCCTCGCGCTGCGACGGCGAGCTGGCAAACAGTACTTCACCAATGTACGCCATGATAGCCGCCTCCTCGCCGGCTGAGTCTGGTGTGCGAACGTAGACCTCGTTGCCCGAAGGCGGTGGGTCCGGGAACTTGGATGCCTGCAGTAGCGACCAGAAACTGGCTATGCGAGATTGCAGCACGTCCAAGTCGGTCCGTTTGACTTTCGCGGCTCTTGCTTGCTCGTCGGCTCTCGGGACCGGCGTGGCCGTCTGTGCCTCTCGTTGCGCGCGCAGTATCGACAGGAAAATGGGCAGTGCCGTGTTCGTGTCCCCAGTTTGAGCGCGGTGCACAGCCAGTGCGGTTGTAGCATCGAGTATGTTGCTTGTGACCGGCACTCCGGGCTTGATTATGCCTCGCTTTCTGTCCAGCACTTTCGCGGGCTCGTCGACGCCAGACAAAGCAAGGTCGAGTGCCCACTGGTACATTTCCTCCGCCGTCTCATTCAACCCCTTGAAGTCAAGCCAGCCAGCGTACGCGAGCGCCGCGTCCATCTTCTCCTTGTTCGTGAATCCCTTAGTCGTCAAGATCTTGAGATAGTACGTCTCTGGCGGTGCGTACGCCGGCACGCAGTTTTCCTCCAGTGGCGGCTCGATTCCTTTTCGCGGTATTTTCTTTGGCCTTGGATTTGAAGGACCAACCATGTATGCTCGTTTGAACACATGATCTCGCGTCGTGTCCACAACCGCATCCTCAAGCTCAATGGCTGCTCGCCCACAGCCCATAAGTGCCTCATAGTAGCCTCTCTTCCACTCGTAGCTCATGTCTTCGATGTCGAAGCCCGTGTGTCCCATCCCGGGAACAACGACATCCGCCTCGTCCACCACCCGCAGTCCCTTTCCGTCCACGCCTGGATCCTCAAGCCTCTTCAAAAGGTCCCTGAACGCCAATCCGCAAAGCCACCAGTTCACGGTGCCTGTTGCGTTCGCGCTGGGCACCTCCAGACCTCTCGCAGCGTGATAGACCACTTTGGTAAGGAACGTCCACTCCTTCGGCGCGGGGAAGTCTCTGTCGACCATCTCTTGCGTGAGCATCCACGCCCACGCCAAACCGGCCGAACAAATCACCGCCCCGATGAACGTGTACTTGCCCGCCAGCCATGACTGCTCCTTGATGAAGCGCTTGGTTTCCGTAGATATGAGACGCGAGATGAAGTTCAGCTGAGCGCGCGAGCGCGAGCTATTCAGGAAGCTGAGTTGCGGTCGTGAAGCTGTGTGCGAGACGAGGAGGACTCGTGAGCTGCGCGCGAAGGAGCGGGTGCGCGTTGCACGGCAAAATTTCGTCAGCGGGGGTCGAAGCGGCCGTGACTGAGGTTTTATACGTTGAATGACAGGCATTATGATGTCTGATGTAAGTCGAGATGGGAGAGGCGTTGCGTTTAAGTTGGGGACGTCGTGACAGCAAAACGCTCAGACGTTCATGAACAGATAGAGATAGCTGGCCCCCTCCTCGCTCAAATTCGAGGCTTCAGCACAATCATTATTCATGCGAAAGTATGGAAGCTGAGATGCACTTGTATATTTAAACGATCCTCTGGTCGAGTAGAATACTATATAAATCTTTCGCGGTGCGTTGAGCTCTACGCTTTGCCCAAGTAATATCTCGTACATCCTATCCGTTGGCCCAAATTCACATCGTCCTTGCAAAGATTTCATCCTTGTAGTTATGAATCATGACAGCCACCCAACCTGCCCACTACCTCCCTAACTCGCTATGAAACCTTAATCCTCATTCGTTCGTCATCAGGGTGCTACGCTAAACAATACAAAATCATAATGTATCCAAGTGAATTCTGCTGCAGACTTCTGTACGTGAACAGCGAACAAATGCAAACGCCATTTACAAAATGCTATGACAGTTCAAAGCGCTATGCTCTCCTTCCGCAAGAACAAAAAAAATAATAAAAAAATTTGGCGTGCAGAAGTAATGACAGAAAGAAGCTCGTGACGTTAGGTAGGATGCAGTACACGCCCGACACGGGCTGTACTGTGTCAGACTCTCCTCGCGCCCATGAGTGAGAGGCTGATTGATGTATCATTGGCAGTCGTGCTACTGCCCGGATCTGGTAGGAGTTCCCATCTTCGCAGATGGAATGGAACGGGGGCGTTGAATGACTTTTGGGGCTGCGCCGTCGCTGTGGTGCTCTGCCTCTGTGGCGTAGGAGGCCGAGGAATCTGCAGAGGTAGACGAGGTGAGCCTTGCTGTGCACCGAAACGCGCAGGAGGCGCTTGCTGGATTGTGGTGGTCGTCGGTGTTGAAGGAGTCTGGGGCTGTTGCCGTGTGGTCACCAGACCAAGCCAGGCATCTACAGATGGTGGTGGAGCGAGAATGAATGAGACCCTCCTTTCATTTGGATACTTCGGGATCTCTGAACGTATAAGCACATTTCGATACTCGTCCGTAAGCTCATCAGAGATATACGCTGTGGTGTCGTAAAGGAACTCTGTTGTGCTTCGAGATGAACTGAGAGCCGCATGTGTGAATACAGAGAAGAGAATAGGAAGTAAGGACGCAACGTCTGCTGGTGAGGACTTCGAGCTCTCGGACGTAAGCTTCCGGACAACAAGGAGATGTAGAAGAGCGTTGAGGAGGCAACAGGACAAGTCGGATGCCATGCGTGATAAAGGCCTGCTGTCCACATCGCCAGCAAAGTACTTGGCTAGCAATTCCCGAATCATTCCAAATCTATCCTGTACGGGCGAATCTACGTCTCCTTGCGCAGTCTGAGGTACTGATTGTGGCACAACTTGTGTGCTCACAGTAGAGTCCACAATATAGAGCAGTCTTCTGAGAAGGGTACGAATTCGAAGCAATTGAAAGTGATCGACGTCGTTGCCTTCACCCTTGATACGTGTACAGCAATCATTGACGATCTTTAGTACCTGCATCTCGGCAATAGCGCGTAAACGGACCAGCAGCGCGGGATCGAGACCATCCATAAGGTCGAGCCACGGTGGGCGCTCTGAATCGGGGCTACGCATGATTGCCTCAAAGAGTGATGTGGCTATCTCCGTTGATCCTTCTGAAGCCCTAATTCCATTGTTGAGAAGCAGTTGCATCTCAAGCTGGCACAACGGAAGTGAGAGCTCGCCTACCATCTTGACGAGCTGTGGAATCTTCTCTTGGCTGGACAAACTAGCCGAGATTTGCCCTTGATGATTCAGAAGCTCTTCAATAATATCCTTGAGCAATGCACTTCCGCGTTGTGTGAGTGTCCGATTCATGACATGCTCTTGAAGCTGTCTCTTGTGATCGATGGCGCAGCCAAGAAGGAACTCTTTCACGGCGTCGTTTCGCAATACCTTCTCAAGTGTGTCAATGCAAGGATACGTTGAGTCATGGTCGAGATTGCTCAAAGCAATTGCCAGATGCTGCAATACCGTATCCACATGCTTTTTGGTGAAATCCTTCTGGTTCAGCCTGAATTTGTAGTTCACATTGAAATCCTCAAGCTTGTTCATGTTTCCGGGAAGAAGGAGCACCGATACGACCACAATGGAGAGCTTGCAATTCGCTTCCGTTGATAAAACGGATTGCTCCCGAATCTTTCTCTCAATTTGTGACAGCCTCTCAAATGACAAGGCCCCAGAACCAAGAAGCATGGTCAAAACTTTGCAGCAGATGTCTTCCGTCATAGATTGCAGTAAACGGGTGACCCATTCACTGAGCAAGGTATCAAATGTTGACTCATCGAAAGCTCGTAAGCGAGGAAACCACTGAGCTTTAACTCGAGCCTTCAATGGTGTCGTCAAGTGCGTTGTTATTCGTTGAAAAACTCTGGTAATGCTTTGCTCGTCCATCGTAGTGCCACTAGATAGTATACGGTCTATCTCTTCCTCTGATTCCAATGAGCTTGACGCAACAAGATCCAACGCATTGTCAGATGCGGGTGAACATATTGCCAAGGCGTTGCGCTGGTCGCATCTTGCAAGATCATACGTGACCTGTTGGATAAGGGCTAGTTCACTCTTAACACTGGTCAAGAGATTGAGCAATGAGGATAAATACCCCTTCTCCAACGGCATTTCATTCCGGAATATATGATATCTCTCCACAGCAGACAATACGAGCGGGCGTAATGCACCTATTGCGGCAAAGTTTCCTATATGGGAGCGGATTGTATCGATCGCAGCAACAAGTATGTCATGATGACACTGTCGCAAGCAGATGCCGATGACATCGGCGAGAATTGGAAAGTCTTCGACCGTCTCGAGGAGATATCTGGCGGATTCGAACATGTTCGCGGTGAGATAAGGGCGGGTCGAACCTGGCAATGAAGATCCAGTCTCGACATAAGCCTTGGTCAGTCGAGAGTATTCATTTCTCACGAATGCACTGAGCTCGAATCTCTCGGCGATAGACAGACCATGGAGAAGCTTTTCCTCTTTCTCTGACCATTTGTCCTCTGAACGCCCAAAAATGGCCTCTTCTACACGCTCTTTTAGAATAGCCACAGGTTGAAGTTTAGATAGGCCAGGTTCATTGGCTTCTCGAAGTAAATTGCGCTGAAGATCACCAACATGTTGTGGCAGTCCTACCGTAGGAATACCGCGGACAAGTTCTCGCAATCTGGATGCAGACTGGGGACTGTGTTCACTGTCAGACATCGCGCCTCGGGCGATAACAGCACGAAGCACCTTAAGTACGGCAAAAGACTTCGCTCGGACCAATTCAGCGACGACTTTGATAACGTTGTGAACGTCAATGTTGGCATTTGAGGGCGGATCCATGATGAAGGTCAGTATATAGCCTTCGATGTCAACACCAATTAGGGCATAGCGCCTCAAAATCCGCGAAGCTAGGTAAACCCTATGAGAACCTTGACGGTAAGCTGACGAGCACCATTCTAATACAAGCTTGACGACATCCTCTGGTGATGAGAGGGCACCATAAAGCTTTGAGCATACTTCTGGGATGGACGCGTCTGCATCGGCCTTGTCTAAGATTTCAAATGCACGTCGTTTGGGGGACACCGTCGATCGCGGGTTCTGTTCCCAGAGGGGTTTCGCCAATCGATTGTTGCGTTCGATAATGCTTGCCACAGCGGAGGCGAGGTCAGCCCGCAAGGTCATACTGCGAACCAGTGGTTCAAATCTTGTCCAACTTTTTGGGATGATCAGGCACCCTGCATGCGAGCTAGCCAACGTACCAAGTAACAGCCTAAGTCGTTGGGAGATGGGAGCAAGCAAATCAGCGTTTTCCTCATCTGCCTCAATCTGATGGAGGCTGTTACACACCGCTTCTGCTAGTCTTCGTCCTCGCTTCCGCGTTGATGTGAGGAATCGCCAGTACAATTGGACATGAACGAGCCACAGCGGAAGACGCTCAACACTGCTGCCTTCAAAAGACGACATGATCCAATCTAGGAAATGGTCCTGATCAAGAAGCTGCTCGACGTAGAGATGATACGTCAATCGAACAACGTATTGCATTTTTACTCTCCATGATTGATCCGAACGTGAGGAAATTGTTGCGTCAATAAATTGCTCGACGTGCATAGTCCATTCCCGTACCCATTTTTGCTCTGCGCTGATTCCGAGGGCACCAGTCACGCCTTTTCTCTTTAGTGTGCGGAGTTCGTTTGCACCAATGCACTTTGCCAGCCAGATTGCGCGAGCGGTAGGGATTTCTTTTGCCAGGCACTGCTCCAATAAGCCCTTGCCGTTGATTCCATATGGAATAGTGCGGTTAAACCGTCGTAGCGCGCATGCTGGATTTGCCAAATCAGACAGCCATGCTTCCCGCTTTGTGTTTGTTAGAGAAACGCGCGGGGGAGGTTTGAAGGTTGAGGTGGCAGTTAAGCGACCTGAGCCCTGTCTCTTCTCCAGTATAGCAACGAAGAGAGATGAGAGCGTTTGTAAGCCAGATTTGTGCTTCAGAGGGTTCCAGATCGACGGTCGTGCAGTGTTAGACTCGTTCGTTATCGTGGGCTTGTTTAGGAATCCTGACTTGACAGTTTGTTCCGATAACGTATCTTCAGGACCATTCCCAGTCCAAGGATTGTAGTCCGCGCTTTCTGCCATTGCCAGATTAGTTCTCGAAAGCGATGCTCGGGCGGTGATGCACAACATACTTCCGTTGGGGTATACTAGCGACACGAGAGGCGGCTCAAAATTTTGGGCCCGGCCATCCACTCCTGAAGCACCGTCACCGCCTGCGTCTGACGGCCAAGGCAAAGCATTTCTGTTTCTGGCGTATTGAGCTGGTCGCGGAGGGAAGCCAACTGGTGGGATCGTGCATGTCGCAACTTGCTGCACTGAGCTTTCAGCAGAGCCAGCCGACATTTCAGAACGTGCATCGACATCAGCAGGTCCACCATCACTTCCATACGGCGTCCTGAGACCGTCCAAGTCCGACTTCAGGCCTGACCGTCGCGCATCATCTGCGGTTGAGCTGGCTCTGGACGATGCGTTTGAGTGCACCCGGACATGAGCGCCGCCCCCTCCGCGGTGCTGGGAGCTTTGCTGAAGCATCACCTATGTCGGCGAAGTCATGTTTGGTTTGAAGCGAAAAGAGGCACAGATGGAGAGATACGGCAGACGGGATCTGTGGGTATCAAACGCATCTGCCCCAGAGATCGGGACGGTCAGACGCACGAATGAGACTGCGCACGAGCGACGAGGCGTGAGAGGGAATAGAACAGCGGTAGACTGTCGAGTGGAAGAGGGAACCGCAGACACGAATGGTGGGAGAAGTGTAGTAGCACGCAGAGAAGCAGAGAGGCTACAACTGCGGGAGTGGACGAGGCGATCCAGCTCAGCGGATCTCTCGCTCGCACGCACGCACGGCTTCGATGCCGCCCACTCGCTACGCAGCAAGCCGGGACGTTCGCCCCCATCGCAGGCGGACATGTCGGCACACCACGTCGTCTTCCCACCAGCCGAAAACGACGCAATCTAGCCCGTCCACGCCAAGTCTGTGCGTGCGAGATAAGTCAACGATTACGTGCCGCCATTCTAACCCTTGGTTGTTGTTCTTGCTTTAATTAGTTCCACGACGGGAGTTGCCATCGTCCCATCCATCGCGAGACCTTCCTATCGGTCAGCTGTAAGCTCCCGCTATCGGCACGTCTCGCCTTTACTGTCTCGGCCGAAGTGTGCTACGCTCGGATCTCCAGCGTGGAACCTCGCCTCAGATCTTACCTCTGTGTGTGTGCCTGTCCCAATTCGACGACACTCGCCTGCCCCCGAGCCATCCAAAGCAGCCTACGGCATCATGGCATCAAAGAAGGACATGCGAAGAGCGGATCTCGGTAAGGAACCCGCACAGCCGTCTGGCAGTTTTGTTCCATGACAAAGCTGATGATGCGTGCCCAGCTGTACCTTACGTCGAGCCGGCGGCGAACAGCGATACGCCGGATATGACCGGTAAAGGCCCCAGAAGAGCCGCACACGAATACCGAAGCGTCGGGCGAATCTAACACGTGTGGCCAGGAACAATGTCAAGCACTCTGCCGATGGTAGCGGTATGCTCGCAAATCTCGTGATAATGAGGTGCTTCACTAACCGTGTCGATCCCAGATCGTGACAAGAAACAGGTATGCAAGACGCTTCCATACTTCGTTCATATGCAGCTAACGCCATGCCGCTTAGAATGCTAGGCTGGTACGCTAATCCTCCGTGATTTGCGAGACTTTGTCTCGTCCCATCTAGGCAAAAAATTGATATATCTGCATTAGGACGGCCGTGGTATTCGCCATGCAGACTTGGCTGGCCGAGACACCTGCCAAGAAAAAATCATCCTCAACACCTGGCTATTTCTCTGTCATTATGGCCAGTCAGTCGTTGTCTCTTCCGTGCTCTTGGAAATCAGAGCTAATTTATCGACCAGTGATGGCATTAATGGTTAGCTATATGCCGTTGTTTCTGCCTCCACCGCCCGCACGAGGCACCGGCACTGAGGCTCCGGCCGCAGCACCAGTTTCATAGGTTGCTTTTTGTTCTAACTGTACATCAATTTGGAGAGCCTGGACTTTCTTGTGAAGACGTGCGGAGGGGTAAGTGGCCAAGCTTTGATATATATCATGTCTACCGTGTCGTGCCGCTTGCTTTCATAATGTACCCTGTATGATAAGCTGTACAATAGGCTCATATCATTCCTAAGAGGTATAAATCCTCATGATGGAACCTCAATAGCCTCGAGTTTTTTGAAAATTTGACTCTTCTACGTGATTGCAAGTGCTCTTTTTCTGCATGTCTGCAAATCTACGCGCGAACTCCCCTCCCTTCCCCGGTACCCTCCCATGACAGGCATTCACGAAGTACTCCCTATACCTTCCATCGTTATCTCTATAGAATCTTATCGTCTAGAGATGAGGAGGCCTCACTCACTAGCCTGAATAGCCAGCCTGATCGTCCGCTGTGCACGACTGCTCGGTTTCTAGTCACTGGACGAAAAACTTGGTCCGTGCACCGTTCCGCGCCACACTCTTAAGTCCCTCAAGGACTGGTCTCGCCCTCAACTTCAACAACAACCACAAGTCTCCGCTCTCGACTCAGTTTTTTCGCAGCAAACTAAGCAACAACTGTCAAATTTGACCTCAAACACACAACCGCTTACCACTTAAAGTGTCCAAGTCAGCGCGCGCGTATGGTGAGTACTCTATCTCCTATCTACCCCACCTCGCTTCGATTATCACCGTTGTGACCTCATCGCTCTCTCACGATTCAGACGTGTTTCTGTGGCCGCATCTGACACTCTCTGCAGACAGATATTCAAAACCTCAAGACTTTCGACCCCTTTGCCGATGCCCAAGAGGATCAAGGCGCCGAGGCCACCCAGGTGAAGGCTGCGGAGAATAGTACGTACATTTTCTGTAAGAAGAGCTTGTGTTCAAGGCTGTGTATCAACTATGACTCCATGAGTCTAATTCAGACTGAGTGGCAACTTCTTGAGCATCGAAGACTCATAAGCCACATCTGACGTGTGATACTCATCTTGATCGCAAGGCTCCACACTACAAACCTTGGAAAGATCAGCGTGACTAACTGTTCGCTTTTTCATCCCAGAAATACATATCCGTAAGTGTCGTTCATTCTCACAGTGCAAAATCCATACTAAGCGCTACAAGGCATCCAACAGCGTAACGGCAGGAAGACTTTGACAACAGTCTCTGGTATTCCCTCTAAATTTGACTTAAAAAAGGTTCGTATATAGGCCGCCTTCGACATCGTTCTCGTCTTGATCTAACGACATTCAGATTTTGAAGGTCATCAAGAAAGAATTTGCCTGCAATGGTACTGTTGTAAACGATGAGAAAGTTGGCGACGTGATTCAGCTTCAGGGCGACCAGCGCACCAACATTCGAACCTTCCTCACGGACAAGAAGAGCGGTCTCGGTATCAACGCCGACTCCGTCCAAGTCCACGGCTTCTAATCGCCAGAATGCCATGCTCCGCCCACTGTTACGGCTGAAGCGCCATGATGGCTTTTGGTAGATGAATACGAATCCGCCAGGGTCTCTCGCTGTCAGCGAGCGGCCTTGAACCGAATAGCCTGCCCTCTCGCTTCTGGCGATGTGACGGATGGGACACGCCACATGCGTATAACGAGAGCACGGAATTATTGACGATACCCCTTGGCTTGCAATTCAGGAGCTAGGAAGCAACCTCGCTTCCAGGCTTCAAACTTCGTGCGCATTACATCTACGAACATGTTTGATGGTTGCTTACCTATTTTATCTCACTCAAGTCGCTCATTACTCTTTGTGATGGAAGCTGCAAGGGATTGTTTTGTTGTAGTCTTAGCAGGCTTGCTGCTCCTAGAGCTGAGCTACACAATATGATACAGAACTGCTTTCACAAGCTAATTATCTTTTTTGCTCTCCTTTTTCTTATGTTGCAGCTTCGGGCGTCGATCTCGGTTGGCTAGGCATCCCAGGCAATCTCATCTGCTGTTCTCGCCACTGGTCCAACTCTTCTTGTGTGCCCTTGGGCGATCGGAACCCGAATATCTTCCACGGTTCGAACCTGCCAGCAAGGTACTTTCTCGACATGATGACATGCTCCGTCAACGTCCTTGTCCTTGGCTCGCCCCACTGTACATCCTGCGCTCCCTCTTTGGTTTTGCCCACAATCTGGCCAGGTGTGAGGGTCTGCTCGCTCGTGATTCTCGCCACCACTTGCTGCACTCCCAAAGGCAAATTCTGGAACTGCATCGGCGTCTGCCCAAACTTTCGCGACAATATGCGCACACGCTTATACTTGACATCCCACTTGAGCACCTCTTTCTTCAAGTTGTAGTTGCGGACCATGCGCGCATAATGCTCTTGAAGAGATGTGCCGCAAGTTTCGCGGATGCCAGCGAAGTTACCTGTTTCGACCGCGGTTTGGATGGCTTGGTAGGACCGCTTGTGGAGGTCTTTGACTATGCGTTTGTGGGAGAAGGTTTCTAGGGATATCCGCGGGGGGCGGAAGAGCATCCACGACTTCTTAAGATGCTTTGGCCTCGAGCGTATAGGCGTTTCGCGCCAGAACGTATACTTGCTCACGAGCGTTCTGCGAATTGATTGTCAGCTTGTCCGGCTGCGTGCTTGGGTGACGAGGCTCTGATTACTGGAGAATCTCTTGAACATATTGCTTTCCAAATTCGTAGAGCTGGCTAGAACGTAGTCTGGGGTTCAAGAGCAACGATGGACCTGGGGGGAGAATGTAGGTGACTTGGAATAGGAAGTCAGTCATATGTTGAGGTGCGCCATTGCAGTATGTCACGTACTTCTCATCATTCCAAGTTCGTCTGGCAAATCCTCCTTTCTAAGATTCTGCATCTGCATCGACTGCGCTGTACTTAACGAAGGCCTACTCGGCCGTTGCTGTGTTCGCGGGTTGTTCTTTGACACACCCAACCGCTGGTACGCAGAGAACAGGCGGCGCGATTCATAGTGGCATCTTGGTGCAGATGCAAATGCATCTTTGGCCAGCCGCAAGGGCTGGCCTGACCTCACTATGCGCTGAGCCATGTCAATGGTTTGTCGACGAGCATCGCGAGGCAAAAGGTTAGAAAGGTCGATTGCCAATTTGGGCTGTGGTGGGCGACGTGGTAGGGGTCCGTGTAAGCGAAGAAGACGATGCCTCCAATTGGTTGCTTCACTTTCGCGTCGATCCTTCGCCTTGTCTTTGTTCGCAGGTGATACATAAAGGGCGACAACTGCTTGGGAATTCAGATCTTGGGCGCAAAACCTCAACTCTGTCTTTGAATTTGACACTCCTCAAGTTTGACTTTGCCTTCGCCTCATACAGTTTGCACGCTTCATCCAAGTCTTCTGGATCTGGTCCTTGATGAACATCGTTTAGTTTCCTCCCTGTGCACTGCCTGGATACTCCCCCCAACTCCCATAGCGATACTGGACAAAACCGGAGATTGGGGAACCTGATACTATACACAGCCCGCAGTGCTTGTGACCAAAACAAGCCCTCGCCTGTCCGCCTTTCCCGCTGTCGAATCCCATCCCAGCCTTATGCTAGAGCCTGTCCCCTCCCACTATTTCCTTGTCGTGACCTTTTGTGATGCTATACATGATGAACACCAATACTGGGACCAGTTGCACTCTGCTAATCAGCGGAGATTTAACCACTACCAGTCCAGCCCGTAGCGCGCCGGTAAGTGATGCGGAAAGCTACCACAGGCAAACCCAGGCTTCCTTCGACTCCTGGCCAAGGAAGGACCGATGCCCGGACAAGAAGATCGTGAGACCTACATGGGTTGACCTGCGCGCGAGATTCTATGGGCGAGGACAACGGAGTGCCTTGATACTCCCGTCGTCCTCCATCGTAGCAGGTTTGCCTAAAGAGTGCTGGATATCCGTCTTCGAATATCTACCTCCACATGATCTAGGTCGATTACTACGTGTTAATCGTGCATTCCATTCCTGGTTAAGTTTCTCAGAAGAACCGGAAGAACGACTCTCCATGAATGAGTCCAATCGTATAAGTTACAAAAAGTTGAAAGGTCTGTGGAAGCAATCCAGGCGAAGGTTCTATGGGCACTTGCCACGACCACTGGAAGGATTCACAGAGCTAGAAATGTGGCGGCTCATCGGCGGCTCGAGGTGTGAGATGTGTCTTTGCCCTACAGTATCTCTCGGTCATAACTATGAACCTTGCCAGAAACTTCCGGGAGGACTGCCACTCAGAAACCGCAGCAATATCCGGATTTACTGGTCAATAGGTGCTCGACTATGTCAACAGTGTGTTGAAAGGCTCTCTTTGTTGGTTCGTGTTAGAAACTTCCTTCATACGTAATATTATAGTTCTCAACGTTTGTATCTTCAGGCGGATGGATGTAATCCAAAAGTTTGATCCATCCGTCGTCTGTATGTCTCAAACAGGTGAAGGGCGTATTGGCAAACATGCGCTTCATGTTTCAGTGCGCCGCGTATCTGACTTTAAATGAGGTAGGGATTTTACAATATACTAGAGCCAGTCGCATGCGATAAGACCATCAAACGTTGGCAACGATGGGAAGCTGCCAGCCGTCCCGAGTTGCTACCCGAGTATACGCCCGTTCAAAGTGGAATGCAAGAACCAGGTACGTCTCGCAATCCTTCAAGTTACTCGGCATCCCACAAACCAAAAAAAACAACAGTCGCACATTTCGATTTGGCGAGGGCCAAGAATTACGTGAGACCCCCATACTTATATGGGAATTCCGTGGCGATGGCTCAGGGACGAAATGATATTGTTGGGCAGGCCGAATCGCTTAATCTTCCCATTCCTTTTGCTGATTCCGCTCCTCTGCTCCCTCAAGGGCCTGTCACGCAACATCAGCAGAGCTTCGCAAGGAGCAAACGTAATCCTCGGGGGCCATGCGTCGTGACCAATGCAGCTTCACTCCCTACTTCGTCTCCATTAGCGCCAGGGACCGTGCCAGTTGCAATGGGCAAAAGATTCTCTACTTCGGCGATCAGGCGATCTCAAGTGATGATTAACCATTCCCGTTGTGCTGAAATTGCAAGAAGGGCGTCGATGCTCATACCTCCCATTACCATGGACCAATTAGAGAACCTACCGGCCTACAGAGCTGCGCGAAACATACCATGGAACTTGACCGATGCAGAATGGCCCGCCCTGAGAAACCGGCTTATTTCGCAGGCCACAGAACACTATCGTGGAGACGTCGGTAAATCTATGTTGCCTAATCAACAAAGCAATCTCCGATCCATACTCCCTTGTGTGTTCATCGCTAGGACTGCTCCCAATGACAATTTGCTCACAAAATTAACGTCAACGTCAAGAGGGGGCTCAAAACGCAAATGCGACAGTCCTGATTCTATCGGAACAGAGATGAGAGACGTCAGCTCACGGAAGAAAGCTATATTGAACATATAGTCTGCAACAATTTCCAGAGATGACCGGCAAATCGAAGAAATTCATATCTGGAGTGTTCGAACTCCTCCGGGTGGTAATACATTCATGTCAGTAATATATAGTATCAACTCCGACATGGGAAATATTTGCAAGTCTCTTCAAACGCTAGATTCATATGCTAGCATCTCCCCGTAGTTGATTTTCTCGAGATTACGTCTGTTTTCAATATTACAGTCATCTCTTAACTATTCAAGTCTTTGCATTGCCTCCTAGTGACACGGATGCATAAACACAATAACCACAGTTCATTGGAAGGAGGAGCTTGTGTATCATAGAAAGCATACTCCGAAGCAATCCGGATCTCATTATGTAGAGGCTCAAGAAATGCTCTGCGGCAGTATGTCTTATCTAATCGCTCTCTAGAAAGGTCTACCTATAGTGAATGGCTCTCCAGTTTGACAAATTTTCACCAGCAACAGTAACTCGAGCTACTGACTAGAACCTGCACAACCATCAGCCAGATACGATGTTCAGATCGCACCCATTCCGAGAGTTGTTCAAGGTTCAGATAGCTTGAAGAGTGAAATGAGCGAAGTTCGACATTGTACCACTATTGAGACGGTCATTTCGAATACGGATGGAAATTCACTGTTGGAGTGCGCAAACTAAATCCATAGTACTATAATCTAATTCAAAAAATTGTCTCTAGTCTGTTACGTCCTCAAGGGTATCTCTCTAGTCTACATGCAGTCACTCCCATCTGTTCTCGCGAACACCGACTTTCTCGCTTTGAAGGAACTAACGAAGCCCTGAGTATTGAGACCAAAAAGCTCTTGTCCATTATGTTTTCTCGCATCACAGCCTTAGCAAGCATCAATCACTTCGGGTTGGCTTCTTCAGTTCCTTCTTTCTTTCTTCCTTTTTTGTCTATTTCACGATATAGATCCAGTCCGCTTCGCAACGTCGAAAATCGCGGCCACAACCTTCTCTACGTCTTTTGTCTTGATAGGGACTCTATGCTCGCCTTCCCACTCCACAACCGTCGTGCTACCAGGCTCGCAATACTGCTCCAACAGTCTTCTATGAAGATGTAGGCCCGGATCTTTCAATCCATGCACGTGAACTGTGGGCAGTTTGAGCTTCTCATATCCGTTCCACACTTCGGGATCCACGGTAGCAAAACCCTCGCTAATCTCCGCTGCATCAACCAACGCCTTACAGCCGGCGCTGGCAGATGAGAGGCTCACGAGGGGTGCTCTTCCAGCAAGCAAAATGGCAAATTTCCATTGCGGAAGCCCTGTAGATGTGCCCGCAGCGGCCTGCAGCTGCTGATCGTACAGCAGTGCGGCGCTCACCTTTGCGCCCTGTGAGAAGCCCATCAGTCCAACCCAGTTCCCTGTGCCGCCTATTCGGTCGTCCTCTTCCATGGCCTGTTTGAGTTGATAGTGGATTTCTTCCACGGCCGTCTCCGCGTCCACCTCCTTGTGTTCTGGCAACCAGCGCAGCCACCTGCGGAAAGGCGCGAAGTCGGCGTACACGGGAAGGATGCCGGGCCCTGCATAACCGGTGTCAACATAGAGTTGTGTATTGAAAGCACGGTAAAGGCATACCTGCATCGCAGAAGAAGGGCCCGTCTGCAAAGACAAGTCTGAACGTTGGTTGCAGCTTCGCGATCAGGGCGCGAGATTGCAGTTTAAATGCCTCGCCGGTGACACCGCCACCATGCAAACACAGTATCCGCGGCGATGCCAATGAATCATCTGGTTTGCTTGAAGACATAGTTGGTAAAGCGATCGAAGTGCAATACTAGATCTAGAAAGGCGCAATCTAGCTTCTCTTGATATGCGATCTTCGCGTGCCGGAGCCCGAGGAAGCGGCGAAGTTATGCTTTTTCGTGACGCACAAACTTGGAATGATAACTAAAGGAGACAGGGCTTAAATGAAATGCGTAGATCGCGTAAGATGTGGTATGACTGGTAGAGAAAGCTTACGAAGTTTGAATGGCGCGGGTCAAATTCATCTCAGCTCTATTCTTAGATTTTGGAGGGGAAAGCTGAGCGGGCTGCCTAGTGGGAAGACGGAACGCAAGGCTGAGCTCAAGGCTGGCATGCGTATATAATTATTAGTTCACCTGGCCTTGTACCCCCATGCATCGTAGCAAATATTATTGTGCTGCTTGTGTCGCTGGTCCCTTCGTATCATACCTGCATAAAACATCGGGCACAAAAACTTTGCATCAAGTGGCCATGTATTGCTAATTCTTGCGAGCTAAGCTAAATTGAAGGCTTCAAGCGATTCTGTGGTTGAACAAGATCAGGTAGGGAAATATTAGATAATGCTCTTCCAGTCTGATACCTGCTGGGATCGTTCTATTTTTGTTATATTCATGAATCTTGATTCCCTTTCATACAGTTAAGGCTACACTGCCTTACCAGACCACGATCATCTAGACAGCACAAGATCATCTATCCTCAGCAACATCTTGACAGTCTCGGCTGCGAGCTCAATCGCACTTGTGCTCACCAACAACGGCTGCAGCACATTCTCTTCAGTAATATTATTCTTGACCCCTCCGTTCTTGATACTAACGCCTGCATTCCGTTCTCCAAGCGCATGCCGATGCCTGAGTTCTGTGACGACCTTAATACTGTTCAACCCCGCATTCTCTGCCAAGGTCGTTGGAACAACTTCCAAAGCATCTGCAAAAGCTTTCCAGCAGATGGCTTCTGTGCCTGTCAAACTCCTCGCCCTCGTAGACAGCTGGTGTGCGATCTCAATTTCCGGTGCACCGCCACCAGCAAGAAGCGCCTTCTTTTTGACCAAGCAGCGAATAACGCATTGAGCATCGTGGAGCGAGCGTTCGGCCTCATCGAGGATGAGAGCGTTGGCGCCTCGGCACACAATCGATACAGTTTGTTGGGGAGCTTTGATACCTGTAATCTTGACAATGCGTGAACCTGAGCTTTGAATCTCTTCAACGAGGTCGGCCGAGGCAAGCTTGTCCTCTGTGAACGAATCAATATCAGCGATGGGTTTGCATCCAGTGCTCTGTTATTCGTTTTAGTACATTTCTCGATGCAGTCCAAACCTTCAACTAGGGTAGTAGATATGCTTTTACCTTGCAGATGAATTCCACCTCGTCGCGCTCAATGTCTTTGACCGCCAGAATGCCCAGTTTCGAGAGAAAGTGTAACGATAAGTCGTTTACTGCATCACGCAGTATTGACTTCTGTATCAAAAGAACATTGCACTTTGCCTTCTTAATCTTCTTGACCATGTTGAGAAGATAAGTGCGCTCCTCTTTCAGAATCTTGTCCATTTGTCTATAATCGTTTACAACGATCGAGTTCTCCATATCAGGCTTAGGCGGGCTTAGCTGGAACTGTATGAGAGCTATCCGTGCCTTCTCCATGCGTGTAGGACCTCCGGCGCTCTTGATTACTTGCTGCTGCAGTACCAGACCATCGACCATCTCACTCTCGTCGATGGTGCCACCGGGCTTCTTTAGGATGCGGATGTTGCTGAGATCGACGTTTTCTGCTGTCTTTGGGTCTATCACTTTGAGCACGGAGTCCACAGCCATGGGCGCAAGCTTTGGTTCTTGTGAGACGATCTTTGAGCTCAATGATGTCGATGCAGCTTTTAACAGCGTTGCTCTATCACTTAGTGAGATCGGCAGCGACATATCATGCAGCACTTCCACAGCAGCTGCCGCCGCACGTTGGAACGCCTCTGATATGACGGTGGGGTGAATGCCCTTCTCCAGCAGCTTGTCGGCCGCATCTAACAAACTTCCAGCTATAACAACCACAGACGTCGTGCCGTCTCCTGCCTCAATGTCCTGGGCGTTGGCAAGGTCAACTAGCATTTTGGCTGCTGGGTGCATGACCGCGATGTTCTTCAGCATGGTGTTGCCGTCGTTCGTTATTATAGTCTGGCCTTTGCCTGTTTGTATCATCTTGTCCATGCCTCTGGGGCCAAGCGAGGTCCGTATGGCATCGGCAACAGCCTTTGCGGCTTGGATGTTGGACTGGCGAACTGCCTGGGGCTTTTCTTTGTCCTTTGATGCAGTCAGTCTTAAGGTCAGTGGAGTTATTTATATGGCAGAACCTGACTTTGAAAGCAGCATTTCCACCTCCCTGATCTACAGCCATGGCGTATTCTTCAAACTAAGTCTTAAGGGTTATACGCAGATCAGAAAATTTGGTGCAGCCTTTACTGGAGCTTGAATAGCAAACGCGACGCGGAAGCAACAGAATTTCGTAAGTGGCCCGTGCCCAAGATTTTATACATAAGTACTGTAACGTACAAGTACGCAGTGGCGCAACTCGCCTGCAAGCCTCTCCGCCCATATTCTTTCCAACACAGCGTCGATGCAAAGAGATGAAGAGATCATTTTCGAATAAGCGGATAGCGCGTAAAATTGGCCATGATAGTGACGAGGAAGAAAGTTCTTCGAATGGCTTGCAACCTCAAGGTATGTAATGCTCCTATAGCGCAGTATCTGTCACTTGTTTCTAATTCTACCTTGCGCAGACGGCTGATCAAGGATGCAGAGTCTGTGGTCAAGCGCCCGTTACTGCCGTCTAGGACAAAGAAGGCATCGAAGCTGCGAATGTCATTTGGACCCGGTCATAGCGACACGGAGGAAGCTGGCGAGGGAAGCACAGTCATCACACCGAAGAAGCCTTTCGGACGACAAAGCATTCAGCGGAACGCGGAACGCAAGTCGCTGAGACCTACTAGATCTCCAGAGTTGCTGCCACTCAGAGACAGTAACTCGGACCGCCCAAGTTACTCAAAAGACTCTTTAGCTGAACTAAAGCTTTCTACTCCCTCTACGCCAAGAGATATTTCACACCATACAAGTGAAGATGAGGAACCAACGCAGTCATTAGATGTGATCAGCAAGTTCGGAGTGGTGACATCGCGGCCTGCAGGCAGTGTCATACCGACGGAAGCAGAAATCAAAGAAAAAAAAGATCGACGAGCACGGTTAGCACAGGAGAAAGAGTTCATATCTTTAAATGCCGAAGACTCAGATGAGGAGCGGCGAGAACTACTTCTGAGGCCAAGGGAAAAGTACGCGGAGACAAGACTAGTGCGTGATGATGAGGACATAGCGGAAGGTTTCGACGATTACGTTGAGGATGGGAAAATCGCACTTGGACGGAAAGCACTACGTGAAGAGAAGATAAGAAAGAGGCGGGAGATGGCAGAGCTCATTGCTGAGGCTGAAGGTGCTGGAGACAACGAAGAAGAGGACGACTCAGAGGCCGAGAGAAACGAAGCATATGAGGCCACTCAAACTAGAGCAGGTACTTATGGCCAGAGGCGTGTAGAAAGTGAGCATCAATACTCACGAACGCCTCCGAAGATCACACCTGTGCCAGATTTGAATGCTGTGCTAGATCGAATAAAAGATGAGCTGCGGGCAATGCAGGACGCAAAGGCATTCAAGCTCCATAAGCTTGAAGAGTTAAAAGTAGAAAGAAAGGAAATTGCCGAGAGAGAGGTTTGGATTCAGGCTCAGCTTAAGGAAGTAGGTGAACGATACGAGAAACTCAAAGTCGAGGCTGGTATGACGGATGCGGACCTGAATGGCGGTAGTAAGGAAATTCAGTCTGGAAGGGACTTGATTGCTCAAAGAGGTCTAGAGAGCTATGGTTCCACACCAATAGCTATGAGTGAGGTAAATAGCGATGAGGGTTGAACGAAAGAACATGTACCACGTCGCAGGTTGTGAACATAAAATCATGAACTTAGCAACAGAACCAGCTCAATTTATCAACGAATCGCCAAGAAATGATATCAACAAAATACCCATGCCATTATTGGAGAAGAACAAAAGTGCATACCCCTAGGAAGGCAAGTTACTGCTCTGCTCTTTGTTTGGCTGCTGAGTAATTAGGAGCTCTTTGCAGATTCCCAATTTTTTATGTTATATTGCAATTACAACAACTTATTCTATCACATACGGTCATAGAATGAGGAAAACTGGAGTCCCCGTCCGCTCACTCTTACATAAGCCTCATATCGGCCCATTAGTACTACGGTGGGTGACCACGTGGGAATCCGGAGCTGCTGTATGTTTTTTTTGCCATTCCTCCCATTCTCGGGGAATGGGATCATTATTTTATGAACCAATACACATCTCCTTTTATTGTAAAAGTGAGGGCAAATTAAAATTATCTTCCTGCTTAGGAACCGATAGTCAAGCCTGTCTCGGTTGGACTACTTACAGAGGCATTGACATTTTGTCCTGGACATTGACGTCAGTTTTTTGTCCCTAAAGATCCAAGAGAATCATCCTTTATACTGTTTTATTATAAAGCGGTACGTCCAAAGAATATACGAGGGGAGACGGAGCAAGTTGGATTCTCGGAGATTGACCTTTAATACTGACAAATTATATCATACGAACAATAGGCTAAGAAGTAAAGAAGTCGTGTGAACCTGAAATATCTGGATGTAGCATAATCGAAACCTGAGGATTCCCATGTAAGGTTTCATCTTCTCACGTTCCTGTCTACATATTTCTGGAGTACGATCTCGTTCCTTCCCAAAAGCTTGCATGGTCATCCTTATGCCTCCCGTCCTCGGGGCGCGGAAGATCTTCACAATGCCGTTAGCAAAGCTTGTCATCAAAAAGGAACCTGAGCGGGAAAGGTAGGAGTGATCCGAATTAGAATTTAGGCGAATGTCGGTATCGTTTCTTTGATTTCGCACGTACTTACATGCGTTGGTGCATTCATAATTTACGTATTCACCCTTGATCTGTTCTAATTTTGTTATTGAAGCCGAACTGCTGATTGGAGTTGCGGCTTTAGCGATCCTATGTTTGCTGTAGATCCAGCTTACCAAATGACAGCAAAGACACTGCTAAGAGCTTTGAAGGCTTCATTAGTTATTTCGTACTCTAACCTGTGGCGACCATGCCGAACCATCAAAACTGGACGATCCGACCTCACTGTGTCCATGATAAGACCAAATTGCATTCTGGTTGATATATTGCTAAGAAAAAATAGTCAAGCACGGATTGAGTTTGATGTCCTTTCTCAAATTCAGTAATGCCAGTCATTTCGTTTGCTACAGGTCACTAGAGACCGTGCCGAGTTGATACGCCGACTTATAGTCGCAGGTGAACCGACAGGCGAAGAATGTAAACTCGCATGGGACGTGCCAACTTCAGCCTAGAAGCTGTTATAGCGTAAATTCTCGCTATCATAACTAAAGGCCGCCGACATCGAGGATTCCCTTAATTGCTGTTGACACCTGATAATCTTGTATATCTTATTGTAATTGGAAGAAGATGAACAATTACATCTCGCTACTGGCATGTTACGGACTACGATGACGGCTGGTCCCTACGTATGATTTGTATACATCATAGCTGAGGGTATAGCCTAATGTGCTTGATTAGACTGGGATTTCGTCTCGAAATGATTAAGGACATCGTATGCAAAAATTCTCTGCCAGCTTGGGTTAAAAAGAGAGACACCCGGAAGGAAAGCCTTACCTAGCTAATCTCCAAACGCCACTGGGCTGCTTGACTCGCCCCGCCGACCTTCAGCTCAGCATTACGCATTGCGATGTGTCTAAGCTGACTTCCAAATATTCCCGCAAGTCGCTTTTGAGATTGTTGCTGGGCCAAGATTTCGAGGACTTGGTTGCATGCTTTTATTATCAACTGAATCGTCTAATACCTTGTCGTTGCTAGGGGACACGCATTACATCTGGTGAGACCAAAGCGCGTCTCATTTTCCATAAGCAGGGGAACAAAAGTACCAACTGACCTATTATGCACATTTGTGTCCTAAGAACCCAAGTCTACGAAAACAGCTACAACAAAAACATCGTTGGACTTATTTTTGGCAATTTCATATAATTCATCTTTTTGCTATTTTCAGCATCTTGCACAATGCCAACAATGTTATATATCTTGATTTCATCGTCTTTTCGTCCAGAGTCTTCCAAATCTCAATTCCACTTAGGCTCACGATCCAGGGAGCTTTCGTTCACGGAAAAGCCTTGGAAACGGCCCCGTAGAATGCCTTTCCTTGCTCTTCAGCGATCGAAAGTTCAAGCTGAGTTGGCTTCCGTGACCCGTCGGCGCCGGCGAAGGTGCCAGCTCCCCACGGAGAACCTCCGTGAGGTTCGTCGAAATTGGCTAGCTTAGGGAAGACAGTTTTGTATCCCAGGGGTACATAGATGAGACCATGATGAGCGAGAGTACTCATTGCGGCGAGAGCAGTGCTTTCTTGGCCACCACCTGGAGTACCAGAGGAAACAAACAATCCGGCATATTTCCCCCAGTATCCACCGGTCGCCCAAATTTGTCCTGTCTTGTCCCAGAATGTCTTCCACTGCGCGGAGAAATTGCCGAATCTAGTTGGAATACCGAACAAGAAGGCATCGTACTCAACTAAAACCATTTAGAATTCAAGAGATATTGCTTACGCTTTAAAGACGATGACATACGGAGGTCTTTTGGATCGTCAAGCACGGGAATGGAGGTGTCCTTTGCGTTGAGGGCACCCATTTTCTCAAGCACATCATCGGGTAATGTTTCCTTTACTTGAAATAGTGTTGCGGATCCTCCCGCAGCCTCGATTCCCTTCTTTTCAGCTTCGGCCAATTGACGAATATGGCCGTACATTGAATCTAGTACGACAAATTAGCATGTTTTTGGTAACTCAGCCTTGGAAAGGGGGGTGCGTGGAACAGCACTACATACAAAAGACGATCGCGATCTTCGGTGCCATTTTTAGCTCTTGTTCAGATCCTTTCCTTGGGTAAAATGTTTGATGAATGTTGAAAGAAGCGTTCTGTGACCGATCCTTAAATACTGCTCACGATAACAGTCTTCATGCTCGGAGAATGGGCGAGGTTCAGCCAATCAGGGGACGTGCTGAGGATTTGCAAAAGCTTAGAAATACTCACATCAGGAGCTTAAGCGGGGTCAGAGTGTCTTGAAGCTCCACAAAGCTTCAACGAGTCGACGGAATCGTTCGAAACGGAAAAGGCCAAACTGATTCGGAAACCTCCGTCCACAAGTTTTCTATCATGACGTCTCCGCTTTGAAGTGCTTGTAAGTCACATCCCTGTTGCAGAACGGCTGACCGATGTGCTGGCCTGTTCACGGGTCGATTATTGGGAGGTTATGCTTTGGAACTATGACGGCCAGTCTCCGCCTGGTGATGAGTCAGTCAAACACCAAGCTCGGCATCTTACTAAGCATTTTGTGTCACAGCAAGACCGGATGGATCTAAAGGGCTTGGAAGAAACTTGTGAACAAGTATCGGATCACATCAACGCGAGTCCGGACGGACAGACCGCTTAGAACACTGTTCACAGAGCACTTTGAATGAAATGAAACGCGTCTGGATTCGTTGGAAATTAAGTGAGAAGCATTTTGACTTCTAAACCTACAACGGCCAAAATTGTATTCTTTCCTGTGCAGCACCTTTTTCGGAGAGTCGCCGGATATTATAACAACGACTTCGATGTTCAACTGGTCAGCAACACAGAATTTCGAGGTCCTCATGCCGGGTCTGAGCAGATAAGACCTTGTTCAAGCTTTTCATCGTTAGTGCTGCATCTGGCGAGGAGCAAGATGAACTTACGATTGGAATTGCACAACATTGAGCAATTTGGCCGATGGCAGCACAGATGCTTACGAAGTCAGCCCGGCTGGTAGGCGTGCTTGGTGCTGTAGTAGTGAGTACATGTTCTCCTTCTTGACATTCATCTACGTACGGTTTGCACAATCAAGGTCAGCAAGGCCGAGAATATCAGTAGAACAGCACTGAGCAGTGCCTGTTAAGCCTGAGCATGGAATATAGGTCTGGCGATTTTCCAAGGCCGGCATAGCCATTGCAATTGGGAGAAGAGCGAGGACAAATGAAGCCTTCATGGTTGCGAATTGAGGGTTAGAGATCGATTGAAGTGCTGTTAGATACGAATGGTGTTTGGGTAAAGCGGATGATTTGGATATGAAATTTTTGGCATATTCGGAGCCATTCTTATAGACAGTTATTCTGGCGCTACCATCACATCTCTTTGCCCATCGTCGGTGGCAAAGCCATAACAGAGCTGGTCATCGCCTCGCAGTACCTCCGAAGCCACAGTCGACATCTTGATAAACCGACGAACGGCATCGAGGCCAGTCGCTTCCCTGCCCTCAGGGGAATGCTGTTGCCGGCCGGATATTGAATTCCCTTCTTTGTAAAGATCAGCACAATCCACAAGGATGGCGGTTTTCAAAACTACAGGGCAAAGCTCCATTGAAAGAAAGCCATTTGAACTTCTCGATGGCGAACAAGCACAAACGTGGTTGCCGATCTCAACGGTGATCTGCAAGAGACAGAGATGCGGACTTTACCAATGCCATCGTTTTTCTGATTGTGTGTGCATAAGTTGATCAGGCAAGAGGCCCTCTCATCTTACTCCGAGGTCAAAGCATAAAGTAGAGAGATGCGCATTTGAATAATAGTTTGCGCCCATTTCGTATTGAGAATAGGCGTGGCATTTGACAATTTTGAATGCGACTTTCGCCCAAAGATCGGTATTTCCCGTCGATGAATCCCAGCGCACGAAAGTAGTCTATGGCAATGTGAAACTTGTGCTTGATGATTCCCCGCGTAGCAAGGGTTTCCGCCTTGATCTTCACCCTCGTCAAGTAGACAATACTCCGGCCAATGGCAGAAAACTTAGCATTCCCTAACCTTGGTATGACGGAAAGATCTGCAATATTCATTTGCAAGCCATGTGCATCGCCACATCAAGTTCTACGTCAATCTTTGTCGATCTTCTAGGTGCTGCGCAAAGTACCTGGATCGTCAAGAGCACCAGCCCTAGCCTCATCCCAGTGGCACGGCTGAAGAGAAACGATTCCCCAATATAATCATTTTAGAATTTTTCTTAGAGTCTGCAGCCAGTCTCGAGACGCAATTGGTCAGAACGACATGCAATCAGCATGTTATCCCTTGCGAATACAGGACAGTTCCCAGGAAATTAGCGCCCTTAAACCTAGACAACGGCGCAATGTGCATTGTATGGTACATGTGCGAAAGTTTCGTAGCTTGAACTTTGATTCGTCTGCACTTGCGTAAACCTGAAAACGTGGGACAGTTTCTGTGATTTCCAAAGGACTCGAGGTCTCTCCTCGCGGGAGGAATAAGAAGGCTCAGGTTTCAGCCTGGTGCGGTAGTTGGACAGGATAAGTGAGCTTTGTCAATGGCAGCTGCCGAGGACTTAATCGTGTGCTTCGCTACGAAAAGGAACGAACACCGAAATTGTGTCTTTAGAAAATGGAAAATGGGATAGCAGTGTTTGTCAAGGGTTCAATTCTTTGCCAACCATTTTGCATGATCCGAACCTTGCTGAGCTGAAGACAAAGTGGCAAGCGTATAGCGTCGCACGCGCCGTTGACTTTCGGACATTGCCACCAATGGTGTTCACACAGTTCCCTGTGATGGGGAGCATAGTTGAATCCACCCCGGAAGCATGAGAAGCACGATCCATCTATGCTCCCGGGGTAAGTGACATGTCTGATTTACTACGTACTTTACGGCTTTCCGGATCCATTTGCTGCGATTGGCAATCGGAGCAGAGCGTTGTTGGATGAGTGGTAGGTCCGATTCGCTATGTGAAGCCTTGCTCGTGAATTCCGTGGGATCTACTCTGTACAATCGATGTCCTTTCCCCCGAATGTGTGAACAAAGAGACGCAACTGGCCGTAAGATGTGAACAGCACCATCCTCAAAACGCAAGTTAGAGACTACTCGTGCAATTAGGTCGTCCGTTCGTTCCGCGCTTATGTGTAAACGTGAAAGGATCCAAGCATGCCAGGAAGCCACAATAGTATCAAGAGCGCAGGGGAACGAAAATGGCCGAGCTTACTGTCCATTTTGAGATTCTTTAACAAGCTTAGCTCATCTAGCTGGGTCGATTTAGAAGGCCTCTATTTTCTCCGCAGTTGTTCTGACGTTGTCAATACATGTCCTTCTGTAGAATGATTCAATTTGTCTTATTCTCAGTTACAACAGCATATTCTGTAAGCATTTCAAGCATTAACCTACAAAGCAGGTCTTGCCATGGGTATAGAATCACGTCTCGTAAGCAGTCAACTAATCGTGAATTTTTCTTGACGTCTATTTGGCTTCGTCTCTTATCTGAAAAGACAACAAATGGTTCAAGCTCAGGCTCTCTTCTTGAATGTAGTTTCCTGAATGGAAATTAGATGAAAATTAATTTAGCACCGTAAATTAGTTTTTCACCAAGATGCTCTAAAAATATATTGTTACATGTAAAATTTTGCGTCCGCTGTTTTTTTTTTCGTCTCGGCAGAACAAGTGTATATTGCCATATGGTTGATATAATAGACAATTTGGCCGTGCGGTTTGACATGGGAGACCTATGTACGAGAGTGAGCATGCACCACGAACGATCTCGACTAGCAGCTTTCTCCAGCCAATGAAAGCCCACATACACTGCTCTACGTGTTTAGGAGTAAAAGACGTCTCTTCTCTGTAGATCCTTAAGCTGTGCAAATCTACTGCTACTTGATTTGCAATCATGTCCTCGGCCACTGAAATTTCTCTAGGCATGACCGAATAGTCGGAAAGTCTCGCAAGCTCTCCGTGCTTCCTTGTTGGCGAATCCATTTCAAACTCATGTCGTTGAATATCCCATTTAGTAGAGACTATGATGTCGGAGGAGGCTGTGAGCAGTCATATGTAATTGCAAGCCACCTAGGCTGCAATTAAATTCTGACCGTATCATGACCATTTAATACTGCTATAGTAATGTACAAAGGATCGTAATAAGCCCTTTCTGCTCAACATTCAAGCGCAATCACCGTCAGGGCTCAGATGGCGTAATGATATTAAACTGTTGTGTATGCCTTCAGCTCTTCGCTTCATACCTTCTCCGTGTACGGCAAGCTCTCCATCACTTATTATGCCATTCCTAGCACAGAGCTCCAGTGGCATCAACACGTGACGTTTCAATGAGATATCTCAAGCTGGACGGATGCTGAATTACTCCTTTTTGAAGATATATTTAATACGAACGAGAAGCCAGAAGATTATTACAAGGATTTCTATTTCAAAGTAATGCCTGCGGCTTTTAAAGCAGGCCCAAGATCCAATGTCGTTTCCAGTGTTTGCGCCTTGAGGGCAGCAGTGAAATAAGGTAGATCTTGTCCATTGGCGGTACTGTTGTTGCCAACAATGCGCACTGGCAACTTCGCATCCTGGTATTGCGTAGTGATCAAGCTCAAAACCATTGTTTGGTTTGCGACCGAAGTCAGGTTGACGAGATTGTCACCGGGCTTTAGAACAAGCTCTGGAAGTGTTGCAACAGCAATCATATTGTTTCCAACGTAGACATTTTGTGTCACCGTGCCCATCTCGATTGTGATAGGGGATGGATTCGGAATGAAAGCCTGTGCTCTCATATTCGTGCCGTCTGCCTCAGCCACTAGACTTATGGATATGTTTTGGATCTCAAATCCTTGGAGATTGTTTAGACCTAAGATGGAGTCAACCAGTCTGAGCTACATTGTTTTAAATTCTAGCGCATACCCTTGGATTCAACAACGTGATTGAAATTTACGGTGGTCTTAGGTAGTCCACCCTCTTTGAGTGGGATTCGACCACGGAGGGCAACTCGATAGGTTTCGCTAGAGAGGACCAGCTGATTGTAGCGCGCAAATTGCTCTTGATCCGTTATGTTCATTTGTTGATTTATGATGCTAGAAAAGGTTGACTCTGCTTTGGCTGCTGGTATTTCAATATAGCCAAAAGGTTTGATGTCGGGCTCTGTGTCTTCTAGAAACAGTGCCGCTTGGAATGAATACAACTGTGGATGATAAGAGCTAGGATTGGTGACAGTCGTATTCATCATGACATGGATTGAATCCGGTTGAGGAAATGTGACGACCTGAGATTCTAGCGTGAGGCTTGCTTCGTTGATCGCCTTTTGCGCGATGTTAGGTATCCCTACGAAGACCCTACGTTTGCTTATGTTAGCGTTGGAGAAGATGAAAATCTCGATGGCGACATACACGCATAAGACAACGACAAGTACGATAACAATTGTCACGGCCACAAGAAGCCACCAGAATCGCTTTAAGAAATGCTTTGCTTTCTGTCCGAACGACCGAGGTGTCGCGGCATTATCTTTGGGACCGACACTCTCGAGCGTCTGCGCTCCAGACTTGCCCTCGTCAGTCGACATTTCGAAGTCTGAAGATTTCGCTGGACAAGAGATAGATGGAAGTGTCGAGGACTTTGCCCAAGGACAATGGAGACTTAGTTTTGATCAGCGGAGCAACAAAGAGGCTGGCCCAAGCGTAGATAAATGCCTTAAAAATAGTCAGTTCAATTCCTTGCACATGTCGGTCGAAAACTCCATTTCTTAATGGCCCACCCGCGTAACGCAGCGACACACGGAGAAGATCTTGGAGGAGTGGAGCTCGGCGACGACGGATGCATGGCAAACGCGAGTCTAGGTCAAAGCGATGTGAATTGGATCTCATGCCGATGCGATGGAACGAGGAGGATCCAATCATGGAATCGAACCATCAAAGGGTTTTGCTCCAAAGTCCGAGCAGAGACCATTGCTACAACCAGGGTTGCCTCGGCTCCTATTCGTGCACATGCGCGCAATCTTGCTTTTGAAACACCGATATATGATACGCACTGGAAGAAAACACTCCCATAAAAGCAACGCCAGAGACGTTTCGAAAACGCCTCACTGCATCCACGACAGGGTTGGAGATGAACGACATCCAGGATGATGTCAATCCAACCTGACATCCGCAGAGCCTCATGTTGGCTGAGATTTCGACTCGAGCATGACGACCGTACTTCGGTCTTCTCACTCGGAGGTTGTGTGCGGTGGCAACCTACGATTCCTGCATGCATCACGGTAAATGCGGGACAGAGGACAACATTTTCGGTCCGGTGACTCTGGGGAGCAAAGCTGGAGAGCCACGGGGGGCGGGGGTAACATGCGGACGTTTTCCTTTGTTGGGTTAAGTGAGGAGCAATCCACACACCGTTCCAGTCGCCAAAATCGTATCAGCGCATTGTTCGGCTGTGTTCCGAGCATGCAATGTGTTTGGTTTAAGGGGAGCAGCGCACACCAAGAACACGACTGCAAACTGTTCGCTCACTTGTCCTTCTTTGCTGATTCATTTGGGTGACACACGGAGAAGCACGGCTACACTTTTCGCAGGTTTTCATTTCACGATGATGCGACCTAAGCCAATCGCGTCCAGTGGCTTTTTGCGCTTCCATTTGATGATTGTGAAAGACAGCCATCAGCGACGCGAAGTGGATGCCAAGCCCAGGTAGACCATCTCCAGTGCCAACGAATGTGGCATTATTGGACCAGCAGTGGGCGCTCCCTTGGCAAGATCTTCAAAAGCGCGACGAACCATGGCGGACTGGATTGGACGGCCAGCGCTAAGGACAAATCAAGGAGGTGGAAAGTTGGAGATGAGAGAGCGACGCCTCTCACGTGATCTCCAGCACGGAAACTAGCCGATTCGGTGGAGCTAATGCCGGAAGGTCTCGAATGGGCTCTCGAGCCGAAATCATTAATCAAAATGCCGTGATCAGAGAAGCTGTCGATCTCAGTGGTTGAAGCATGGCACCAGCAAGAGAACGGTCTGTGCAAAATGATGACGAAGACGATTACATGTCCATGGTAATTGAGGATGTACAGTCGAGGTCGAAAGAAACGAGTATTCAGCGCGCGGCGAGGTTGAAGCGAGAGGTCGGTTAACGTCCCTTGTGTATTGATCAAGTCGCTCAACTGATGTCGCCACAGGGCGAGGCCAGAAGTAGACAGAAGACCAAAGAGGAACGGGAACGGGATGAACGGCTTGCTAGAGAAGCTGCTTTGGCGAGCTCACTTGATGCCTCCAACAAGGGCTTCAAGATCATGACCAAACTGGGATACAAGCCTGGCAGTACGCTGGGCAAGACAGCCGATGCCCGGACTGAACCCATCCATCTTTCCATGAAGGAAGATCGCGGTGGCATCGGCATGGACAGTGAAAAGAAACGAAAAATTCGCGAGGCACTTGAGACAAACGAGCGCCTGGAAAAAAAAGCGAAGACAGACCAAGTCGACTATAGAGAGCGGCTGCAGCAAGAGCGTGAAGAAAAGCGACTGGAGCATCAGGCTCATGCTGCTCAGAGAGTAGCCGAACGGCTGGACACAGAAGCGGAGGAAGAACAAGCTGGTGCAGAGAACTCGAAGCTGCCTTTTGAAAAGCGTCCTTTGAAAAGCATCAATGTGCTCTGGCGAGGATTGGTCAAGGCCCGACGTGAACGCGAGGCTCAGGAGCACATGAAACGTGAAGTGCAGAAGAGTCTGACATATCGTCGCCCAGATTACAATGATAGCGATGAGGACGAAGATGACAGTCGCGCGTTTTCCACGAAGAAAACCGCGACAGAGTTCTTTGAGCAGGACCTGGAGGATGAAGACGAGGAACTGGATGAATTCGACGCGCTCGCGCCCGCAGAGCGCCTGGCAAGGCTTGTTGCATATTTGCGAAGCAAACACTTGTACTGCTTCTGGTGCAAGTCGAAGTACCCAGACGCAGACTTTCTGGGCTGTCCAGGTATTACGGAGGAGGCTCATGAATTATGACCTGTAGTAGAGACCAGCTAAGTCACAAATTAGCTCAATAATGCCAAAGTCTATGCGAAACGTAATGCAACATACACTGCTCTTCAAATCTGAGGATCGTACTCTGCTTGCGCTGAGGAGTCAGGTTTTGCATTCGTCTACTGTCGCCTTTGTGCGTGTACCAATCTCTCCTGGGAACGTTCTACTGAGCACGGACGCGTCCGCCAACGCGGCGTTTGCTACTCGTGTAAGACTCAGCACAGGAATCACCAGAGCTCTTGATCGGCATGGATCACGAAAAGTGCTACGTGTTCTCACACGAGAGACCGGCGAAGCGCAGGCGTGTTGACATCGGAAATGAAGGCTCTGGGTTGGATGCCTCGCTCCCAATGCGGCGGCGATTATACCACGAGCTCTGGCAGGACCAGCAGCGACGCATCGAGGAAGTCATCAAGGCAGCGAATGAGGCCATCCTAGATGAAATATCGTCGTTTGTGGCCGACTCTCGCAGCGACGGCGATGATCTCGGCACCCTCCGAGCTGGCTTTATCTTGGCCGGCCCAAGCATCGCAGCGCACTCCTTCATCTTCGGTCAGATTCAGGAAAGGACTCTTGATCAGCACACCAGCGTCTTCATTCCTATTGCGTCGCACGACAGCGCGAACCTTAAAACCGTGTTGAAGGCAATCGTCAAGATTGGCACGGCACGCAACAGTGTCGACGACGATGATCTCGAGCTCTTGCCGCAAAAGCGGTCTGAACGGAAGCTACTCGACTACGATCTTCAACTCCTACACGAGCGGGTAGAAGAAAATGGCGTTCGTCACGTCGTTGTTGCATTTCGTGATTGTGAAGCGTTCGACAGCGGCGTGCTGTCGGAGGCCATCGAGCTCCTCGCGTAAGTGCGACGTCCTGTTCTGGTGCAAAGAGCTAAACAGAATGGTTAGTCTTTGGTCGAATCGAATTCCTTTCGTTCTGCTGTTTGGCATCGCGACATCTGTGGACAATCTGCAAGAGCGGCTTTCGCAGAACGCCACAAGATGTCTAGTTGGTCAGCAGTTTGATGCAGTTCAACCAGAACAGATAGTAGAAGATGTCTTCGCCACGACTACAGTCACAGGATCGCATAGATTGTGGCTCGGTGCGCAAATTGGAAACATGCTATTACAACGGCATCATGAGAACCTATTGAGCACCCAAGACTTGGTTGACTCATTGCAAGTAAGTTGAGCGGGCCTCTTTAGATATCCAATATACTGAAATGGCTCGTCTGCAGTATGCATACATGTCTCACTTTTACGCGAATCCGCTGAGTGTGTTCCTTTCAAGAGACTTGAGTCTAGATGACATCTCAAAGGAGCACATAGAGGCTGTACGCAACACAACATCATTCCGCAAGTCGGTAGACCAATTTTAGAGAAAGAAAAACATTTGCTGATCATAACAGATTCGCAGAAGCGTCTCTAACAAGTGTCGAAAGCGCCCGGAGCCTTCAGAGGATGCTCGAGTCTGATGATGCTCTGTTGAAACGCCTAACAGATGCCGTACAGGAGCTTGAGAGTGCGCTTACATTCATGGCCCAGACAGTGCAAACAGCGTGCGCAATCAATTCAGAGCTTTCAAAGACCAAACTCACCTCGTCGAGCTTGTATCTAAAGGCAATGTCTGGAAAGCTCCGTGATGATCACACTATACGAGAGTTACTCCTAGCAGTGAAAAAGGCTCCATCAAATATCTTAATTAAGGCTTTGCGTGCCGCGCAAGCGGCAATATCTGCAAACTACGCTGCAAACATTGAGAACCTACTTGGTCAACTCAACGCGCTTGCAAGTGAGGACGGTTCTGGGCAGCCTATGCGAAGCGAGCATGACATTCGAAACGACACGTTGCGAACCACAGTTGTGGCTCAAAAGGTCCAACTCAGTCGCCACAAAGCAAGGTTGTCAGAAAAGGATGAGGCTTACTCTAAAATTGTTTCCCAGTTCCATGATCTCCTAACTCGTATTTTTGAGGAGGTCAGATACCCTTTCGACATGTTGGGACATGAAGCTGTCATCTACGATTTGCGCATGCCTCACCGAGCTGCTCTTACCCCAAAGCCACGGTTTGCAATTGAGAGAGCGTTATCTTCGCCTCACGATTATTTAAATTGCCGCTGCTGCGGTCCTGCTGAGAACGGAGGAAAGAACGGCGAGGCAAGTATTGAATAGACCGTTCTATTGGACCCAAGTCTAATGGTTCTTTCAGGAAGCAATTCTTTCTGCAAGTCTCCCACCGACAGCGCTGCTGTATCGTCTGTACTTAGAATCCGGCGCTCTGATTAATGTAAGCGATTTGTGGTCTGCGTATGCTGCAATCATGGAAGGAGAAGGCGAGAGTGATACGTCAAAGTTGATGTAAGTTTCTTGACTCCCCTCGTGCGATCTTGTCACACCGGCAGGGACATATTCATAGTTCGTGACATGGTTCGGGTAAGGCATTTGGACACTAATTTGATCTGCAACAGGCCTCTGTTCCAGCGAGCGGTCGCGGAGCTGAAATACCTTGGGTTTGTCAAGCCAACAAGGAAAAAGATGGACCATATTACAAAAGTGGCGTGGAAGGGACTTTAACTTCTCCGTGCGATGTATGCATTAAAACAAGTTACACAGTCTATCATGGTTGTCGGTTGCTAAAATACGGGACAGATTCAGCATTGGGGTCCATGACTCGGCATAATGAGTGGTCACATGAGACCTATCTTGAACGATGAATGGATTATATACCGAAGCTATGCAGAGGCGCACTTTTACTATTCTGGCGATTGCAAGGCTCCATTATGACCAGTTATTTTAGTGGTGATAATGCTGCATTGTTGGCCACTGAATCAAGTCTTCGCCGGTGGCGGTGCGGTATCGCATAATGTACCGCATTTTTTGCACGTCCTTGCTTCTTTATCTTCTTTGAATTTGTTGACAGCGTCTTTGATTTGCGTGCCCAAGTCCGTACAATGGAAGCTCGCTTCATGCACCTGTTCACCGCAGTTCTGGCAATACCACCTTAATCTGTCAATAGATCCTGCTGGGCGTGGTTGCTCAAGCACAATGCCAACCGTGTCGGCAAACCTGACTGGATTGTGAGGCGTGTTTGGTGGTAGCAAGAACATCTCTCCTTCGTTGATGAAAATGTCCTTGAAAATACCATCATCAATAACTTTGAGTAGCATTCGGCCTCTGTACTGATAAAACCACTCCGGCGTCTCATTTATGTGATAGTCTGTTCTGGCATTAGGCCCGCCGACAATCTGAGGTTCTCTTTAGCTTCGGAGTTCGATGTGAGATTCAGTAGGATTGCTCTGTACCATTACTGTCATGTGCTCGTTGGTCACGCAGTAGTTATTCACAGGTGGCTTTAACAAATGAGAGTTTTCTTCGAGCCTTACAACCGACATCAGGTGCTCTGCAAAGATGTATGGTGTTTTTTATCTCATTCTTGCTTACCATTTTGGTAGATTCGTTGGATTTGCCAGCGCGTGCCTGCTTGCCGATGTTGATAACGGTGCAGATCGAATACATCTTAGAGGTTGTAGTCTAGAAGCTATTCGGAGGCTTTGCATGGTGTGATTAGATGCGATCTCTTTGACGACGCTATGTCTTGAGATGACAGCAACAGCAACAAGGCGATTCCTTAGTTCCAACTTGGATGTATCATGCTAGAGTGAAATAAATCGTTCTCGGTTCTCGATCTAGTCTTCTTCGAGTGCGATGCAAAGCAAGCTCGGATGCGCCAGGATTTCGTCTCTTGTCTAAGAAACGGTAACTTCCGGCACGAAGATGAAGCGCGCGTCTAGTTCTAGCGCTTATTGCAACACACCTGAACACGTCAAGGTCTCATCCTACAGACGAATAACTCATTATCAACCAAATCATAGAAATGGACCACTCACATCACGATCATTCAGCTCATGCTGCTGTGGACCACGATATGGCCATGTGCAGCATGAATGTAAGTCATTCTCTGTTGGCTTATATGGACAGCGAGTTAAACCTAACAATCACGGCAGATGCTGTTTACTTGGTCCACGAAAAACCTCTGCATCGTCTTCAGAGGCTGGCAGATTACCTCTACATTTTCTCTAATATGGTCTCTTCTTGCCATTGTTGCCCTCGGTGCCGGTTACGAAGCCTTACGCAATATTACAAGACAGTACGAGATAAGAGTTGCGGAACGATTGGAGAACATGCCTCGTAAGTCTCTCTCATGCAGGAAAAAGGCCTTTGGAGCTGCCTTAGCTAAGTATACCGTCTTAAAGACGGCGTGGTTACAGAATCAAGCTCATTGCTTGCGCCAGGGAAGTCGAGGGCACATGTGGAGCAATCAACCAAGATTGTGAAAGCGTTTTTGTATGCGCTTCAGGTCTTTTATTCATTTTTTATCATGTGAGCTGTGACTCTTAAAGCTCAACTCGTGGTTTTTGACACTTCCAGGCTTTTATTCATGACATACAATGGTTGGATCATGATCGCGGTAGCGGTCGGCGCGTTCGTCGGATATCTGCTCTTCAGCCCGGGACCGGCGACCAAAACAGTGGCTTGTCATTAGCGGATGAAACTCTGAATATCGAAAACTAGGCATGACTAATGTAGAACAGTTTGAAGGCATCTCATAATTCATGCTTTTCAGTCCTGATCAGATGAAACGTAGATTTGCTCTTTATGGGAACGGCGCTTACGAGGTCATCCCAATTCGATGTAAAACAAATGCGACTGTACCCAGTAGATGTCAAAATCGCTTAACATTGATGACACTTGGCTGCGACGCGTAATATACTACATGGAAAAAGGAAGTCTCCTGAATCGCCTAGTATTTTTATGAATATTACTCCTCAGCCTCCTCTTGATGCTCATCCTCGTCCATAGCCTCTGCAGCGTCGACCTCAAAGGTCGGCGCTTGGTCAACGCCAAAGTAGCTGTCGCACATAAGGAACAACGTCAGCTCCTGCTTGCCCGGATGCTGGGGTGTGAACTCGACTTTCGTCGTCAACGTTCTTCCAATCGTCACTCTTTTGATACCGTACAAACTCTTTGTACCTTCATTGCCAACCACAAGCCACCAATTCTCTGTCTTGTCCATTGGATAGAAAGGTGCGTGCACAAGCGGGTTGAGCTCATCGTCCTCATCTAACTGTCGTTCGATGTTTACTTGTATGAATGATGACTCGCCAACAGTAACATTCTCCTTGTTCAAAACTTCAAAGGACATTTCCAAGCTTGGGTAGCGATTATTTGTGAACTCGGCAGCGGCAGCGAGCTGCTCATTGTTGAAGCCAAGTGCTTCAATCAGCTTGCTGTAATCCTTGTTCTCTTCGGGATCCATGGCTTCCATGAAACTGTAGACATCCTCTACTCCGAACTTGTTTGCAGCTTCAATAGCTGACTCATCGAAATGTGGAATCTGTTTGAGAGGACTGTCGCGATCCCACATAGCTTGCACACACATTTGGCTCATCTCCATTGCGTTCATGGCATTAAGATGACCTTCTGAAGAAAGAACATCCACTGATGCAGAAAGAATGTTCAAAATCTTCCTCAACACCAATTCTTGATCTTTAGCAAGATCAATAGGTAGCGCCATTCGCGAGAAATGTGCTTGAAGGAGTACAAAAGCTTTGAAATGAGGCGAATCAAACCTTGGCTCGGACATCTTGACAGGCACACGGTCATAGATGCGCTGTAAAATATGTTCTTCGTGCCGTCTGATCTGAATAGCATCAAACTCTTCAGCTGCCGACACAATCTCGAGAAGACCCTTAAGTTTCGTCTTCGCTCCGAGTGAAAGTACAAGAGTGCCAATCGTGCTAAAGCTAATATTGTAGTATGCTGCAATGCGGCACGCATTGAGAGGTGTGATCGAGTCATCGTCCTCGTCAAGTTCGATGATCTTTGATTCTACTAGGCTCTGGAGGGTCTCCTCGATAGTGTTGCTGAGCCAGGTGTTCAGCGAATCGTTATCCACAACACCATTTGTACCTTGCAATCGGTAATAGGATGGGTTAGCCAGCAGTCGGCGATATAGGTAGAGGTAAGTCGTGTAGTCAACGGCATCCTGTGTTGAGCTAATAATGCCTGCCGCAATCTCAGCAGTGAAGACGTTGGCCAAGGTGCCGGTGTCCATTTGAGATTCTAGAGGAAGAGCTTCTTCGAGAAATTTCCTGTAATACTCGCGCTTGGTCGATTGCAACATCAAGACTGCTTTTGAGCGCTTGTTTTTGTCACCAATCAATGCTCTACCCAGCATTTGCAGAATTTCCGAGAGACTATAGTCCACATAACGATGTTCTCGTCCTTCGAAGAATTGAGCACCCATGATTACAACCAGGTGTGCTGTAGACTGAATTTCCCAGCAACAGTCTCGACTAACAATAAGTACCTGAACCGCTCCTTGCCTGTACAGAGCTTCAACAGCACGTTTGTCGAAAGAATCGAGAGCCTCATGGAAGTAGGCTATACCGTGGGTGAGAGATTCGGCAAGTGCATTCTCATTGATACGATCCAGAATAGGCTGGATTTGTTCAATATCAGTATTGAGGAACCTATCCTCGTCTCCGTCAGCAACACAGGCCGAGAGCAGGTCTATCGCAGTCTGTCGGGCTTGCTTGCGAGATGGGACGAATATTAAAGCCGGCTGATCTGGAGAATGCTGCAGTACAGCTTGATAGGTTGGCTTTGCCATGGCCAGCATCATGGATGGCATATGTGGTATGGAGAAAGTTTGAAGATGCAACTGAAGTGGTACAGCTCTTACGGAAGGCGCGAAATTGAAAATGTTCTTTTTCGAGCTGATGCCTAGCCATTCGCCGAGGTCGCGTGCGTTAGATAGGGAGACAGCTAAGCCAATGATTCTGAGTGAACTCTCCAGTTGCAGAGACATTGCGTGCATTCGAGACACCACTGCTTCATAGATGTAACCCTCGCTATTACCAAGCAAATGTAGATCATCTGCAATGACCAACTCGATTGCTTGAACATCCTTCCTTCGCTGCCACATTCGTGTGAGAGCGTCCGCATGGGTGGGCGTAGCCAGGATGACATCGGCTTGTTTGAGAAGCCTCAAGTCTGCAACCTGATCTCCTGTGAGTTTGACGATGTCTTTGCCCCCACGTAAGCCGCTCAAACGCCTGGACCAATCTTTCAGTAAGGCTTCGACTTGGGCTTCGTGTGGAGCAAGATAAAGAACCTTGCCAGGATCTTCCTTTAACCAATGCCTAAGGATTGCAAACTCGGCCAGAGTCGTCTTGCCTATACCAGTTGAAGCACCAACAAAGACGCTGTCATCGGTTGTATACAAGGCCTGGAAAGTTTGCGTTTGGACTCTGTTGAACTTCTCGAAGTGCTGATAGAGTGCTTGGTATTCGGGAAGCTTCAACGCTCCTATAGGCAGAGGCTGCAGATCAAGCAGAGGAGTATGCGCGGGGAAACGCTCGGGCAGGATAATGTGTCCGTTAAGGGGGATTGCCACCCGCGTTTCTGATCCGATCCAACGGTCCGAGATTAGAGAGACGAAGTATTGAGGATCAAGAGGTTCACGCAGGGGGACCGTGAATTCGACGAAATGCACCATTTCATCAGCCTCACGGCCCACAACGTACTCTCGTCTGACTAGGAACTGATCGTGGAACAGAATTTCCTCGCCATCGCAGTCTTCACAGATAAGCCAGAACTGCTCTCCACTGCCATTAAGGTCATCATTCCAAACCCAATTTGGCGTGATTTCCAAGGATATCTTCAGCATCGATCGCGTAATAGGTACAGCTGATGCTTCCACACTCAATCGAGGAAATTGTTCAACAAGGGAGCAGATATTTTTCCCTTCTCGCGGCATTCCCAGCAGCTCGCCCATTCGCGGGGGATCAAGATCAAAATAACTTGTCCAGGGAACATTCATTCGCTCGGCCTTCTGGATGACAGATTGAGGGCATCTGGGAAACTGTCGGAGCGGCGTCATGACATTGGGCCACATCCTCTTCTCCGCCGCTTGACAAAGCTGTAAAACAACTCGGCTTGTTGATGCCCAACCCCGTTTGAGACAGATTTCAAAAATCGCTCGAAGGATACGTCCGGCAGACTGTGTAACATATACAAGATCTGCCATGAGAGCCAAGCCTTCGAGCTTCAGGCGTGATATGTACGCTTGGAACAAGACATTGATCTTTGCTTGTGGTTCGTCCAAAGTCTCTTTGACAGGAATTGGAACTCTTCCGAGAAGTTTAGCCAACTCAAGTTTCTCGTCCTGGCGAACGGGTATGAACTGGAACTCTGATGACAGAGCGAAAATTCTGATTATCTCGATTGTTGTCATTGATGGCTGCAGCTGTTGAAGATACGTCTGCATTGAGTTGTGTGTGATGTAGTAGTGACTTGCGACCCTACCAAGCTCAGTCGAGGCAATGCTGCCAGTCTTGACATCGTACTTGGCGAGACCGCATTTCTCTAAGACACTGGCAGCAGAATGGATGAGATCAACTCTGAATTGGTCAAGTGCATCATCATCCTGATAATCCGGCCCAACACTGTACAGACCCGGAGAACGAAGGGCTCGTACGTAGTAGTATGAGTACGCCAACCAGTCTGCACCTTCATCCCGAGTTCGTACATTTCCGAGGACAATTTCAGCATTTAGGTTGTCGACCAATTTAGACATAAGTTGGGACTCAATAGGCAACTGCTGATTCATAAGAGACAAATAGTATTGCAACTCACTCTGGTTTGTGATTAGAATGGCTTCGCCATAAGTGTCGAACTGTGGTCGTCCGGCTCGTCCAAACATCTGCAAAAGATCCTGGGGGCTCAGCTCAACCCAGCTACCCTTCTCAGGAGAGTAGACTTGAGTCCCCTTGATCACGACAGTATGCGCTGGTAAGTTGACACCCCATGCCAAAGTAGCTGTCGCAATAAGGATTTTGACACTTCCTTCTGCATACAGATCCTCAACTGTCGTGCGATCTACCCGATTCATGCCAGCATGATGGATTGCTATGCCGTAAGGCAAGAGATCCTTTAGGTCAGCATTCGCAGCACTCTCTGCCTCAGACTTAAGGATCTCTCGGCTTGCTGCATCTTGTCGTAGAATTTGTTGAATTGTTTCCTTTTCAAGGGCAGTATCTCGAATATATTTCGCTGTCTTCGCCGTCTCTTTTCGAGAATGAACAAAAATGAGGATCTGATTACCTGCGCCAACGTGATCAAGCGTCTTTTGGTAGCATATCTCATTCATCGTCTTCAATTGCTTTATGGCCTTCTTGTCCGATACTCCAATGAACTCTTGCTTAAGAGGTACAGGCCTGTAGGAGCCGTCAAAGTGGAATAGTCCTTTGCTAGGATCGACTCTCAGAAATGAGGCCACGTCGCGGTAGTTTGGTAGTGTTGCAGAGAGCCCAATAATTCTGACGTGCTCACCAGTCATGTCCTCTTTACGTGTCATTCTTGCAACTATGCTCTCGATTACAGGTCCACGATCATCGTGAAGTAAGTGAATCTCGTCGATGATAACGAGTCGTACAAGATTCGTGTAGCTTGTGTCCGAAGCCTTGCGAGTAACGACATCCCACTTCTCGGGAGTAGTAACAATTATCTGGGTATCAGCGATTTGCGATTTAGTCAGCTGGCGATCGCCAGTAAGTTCCGAGACTTTGATGCCATAGGGCTCAAGCCTCTTGCCAAAATTGCCTGTTTGTTCGGCCACAAGCGCTTTGAGCGGCGAGATGTACACAATCTTGAACGCATCAAGGTCAATGGCTCCAGAAACTTCATCTCTATGTTTTCCGATCTCTCTCAAAATCGTAAGCATAGCAACATTTGTCTTCCCCGAACCAGTGGGTGCGCATATGAGCATGTTCCCATCGTCATTGAATGCGGAAGGAAAACACTTGCTTTGTATACGATTAAGCTTTGGTGCTGTACCAAAGCCTATGCGCGCCCAGTCTGGCAATGCTTGCGTCGTGGGAATCTCGGTGACCTGATCAGAGGATGCTCGCTTTGGCGCTGGAACATGAATTTCCTCCCATCCCTTGAAAGTACCTGGTACGTGCGTTAGTACTGTGTGACTAGATATCTGTGACGAGAATCTAAACATACGTTTCGTTGAACCAGGTGGAAGTTTGACGTTTGGATTTGTCATTAGATGATTGCCTTGCTCAAAGGCATAATTTTCGAGATTTAGCAAACGTTTGGGCTGGAGGTTCTCATTTGATCGCGCAGGCTCCGCGCCATCAGTGCTCAGCTGCCCACCTTTAATGTCGAGGTCCATTAGGTCGCCTTTGAACTTCATCTGACCATCGGTACCATTTGATGCAATATCGGTCTCCCTCGTCAGAAGCTCTTTCAGAATAGCAGCATGTCCAGCAGCTCTCATTTCTCTTTCTACTGCCTGTCTTTCCTTGGCATCCGCTGCCTTGCGCCATCGAGTCACCCAAAGCACACGATCTCGGTTGAGTACAAGTAGTCCGGTCAGATCAGGGCATTCAAAATCGAAAAGTTCCATGAGCTCGTTCTCGATTTCTCTGAGCGGCTTTTCTTCGCCATCTTCACCCAAACCTTCTAGTATCTCGAAGGCTGCTTTCGTTTTCTCTGACTGCTCATGAGCATCTTTGTATTCTTTGCCAATTTGCCGTGACAACCAGTACTCATCGATTTCATAAGCCGGAATAATACCAACTTCTTTTGCATCTAGCTCATCAATAGGTTTCGAGCCAATGACCATTTCACCTTCTTCGTCGACTTCGGCAGGCTTCGTTTCAACATCTTCTTCGGCCGCAGCTTCTCCAGGAGCTTCATCATCAGATGCATCGCCTTGCTCTCTGACTTCAAAGGTCTGTTCATCCTCGTCTTCTTCGCCGAATTGCACAGCAACGCCTTGCCTATCGTCAAGATCATTATCTGCTCCATCAGCTTCATCCATCTCCTCATCTTCATCAGAGGCTTGATAGTCCGTGATCTTTTTCCCTAAATTGACTAACTCGTTGAATTCTTTGCTTCCCATGGAAGAGCCGAGTATGTCTTCTATCTCTTTCTTACGATCGAAGTCTTTTAAATCGTCGTCCTTTAGGTATTCAAGCACAGCATCGGCGGCACTTCGCGTGACAGAAGCTGGGACATCTCCTAAATGCCGAGCAACGATCGTGGTAATCAAGTTGAAGACTTCCCGTGTCTGAGGTGTTCGTGGCTTGTATCTCAATCCTTCAATGTCCAAATCCAATGCTGCTCCTGAGCCCTGTCTAACAGCCCCACGATTCTTCGTCTGCTGCCTCAACACGTCTGCGCCATCGTTCAGGCTTCCGCGCTCAATATTGAGCTCTGTCCGCGGACGCTTCGACTTTGGTGCCTGGTCTCTTGATGTCCTCGAGCCCATATCTCTAATGTTTATTCTCCCTGCCAAGGACTCCGGATCTCCAGTAGGTTCGTCTTTACTCCTGTTGATAAACCGTCTATCTGCCTGCAAGACCAAGTTGGACATGGCAGCATACTTGTACTGCCCAAGCTTGTTGTCGGCCGCATTGGGGCCTTGCCCTCCCTTGGGCCCTTTTGGTGGCATATCGAAGGAGATTTCTGGATGAGAGAAGGCTTGGGTGTGGAGGAAGCGAATGTGGATATAACGGCGGGAGACTCAAGTTCAAGGCACCTACACCACACGATCTAAGCGATCGCTGTCGCCGTCAGAGTTGAGGGCGAACAAATCGTCTTAAATGTGACGAAGCCTCCTTCGCGGCACAAGCGAAGCAATTGTAACTCAGCGATCGAGAGTAGAAGGCGTGGGTGGCGGGATTATTGCGCGCGCAGAGTCAACTTCAACTTTTTTTGACGAGCTTCATACTCGCCTTTGTGCCTTCTTGCCTCAGCCTCGATGATCACGTGAATTGCTGGCTGGCTTTGTAAAACATTTCGAATTTTCGTTCGAGCGAAAAGGCCCCCAAGATAGATTACGGCTTTCTGATGGCGGAATGAAAGTTCTGCAGACATTACACTGTTCGAAAAGAATAAGGAAAGCGGCAACGCCCACCAGTATATAATCCGTAGAACAAGAACTACTTCATATCGCGAGGGTCCAAGATAATCTACGGATCTTCGTCGTCGGGGTATAACTGAAAATTCGGTTTGAAATTCAAAGCTAAACTACCATTCTCATTTTCAGCTTGTCGGTTTTCACAATCTCATCCTTCATTGCCTCCAATTCCTCCGTATCCCAATTGACAGAGATGTATCTACCGGAGAGCCAAGGTCGTCTTTCGGAAGTTAGCCACGTCAGAAAACCTCCGCACAACCCAACATCATCGGACAGAACTTTCACAGTATTAGTTTGAATTTCCAAAGATTCAGTTTGAACTTACTTTGCTCCCATATATCACCTTTTTCATTGCTATGACCTTGTGTCTGCGGCGTAAGTACCGCACCTGGATGAACGGCGTATGCCAAAATCCCGTCTTTCTCATAATGATCATTATGAATAAGCTCAGCCATCCGATTGTTCGCAATTTTGCTCAAGATGTATGCTTCTGAAACTAGCATGCTATCGGTCGAATGCGCAGCCATTGATGTGATAACGATGAAGGTCTTTGCTCCATCCCTGGTATCCCTGAGTAAAGGTACGAAATATTTTGCCGTCCGTCGGCTACCAGTCAGGTTTACATCAATTACACGCTCGAAGTCGTCATCCTCCACAACACCTTGTGGAATCTTTCTCCGTCCGTCTGACTCAATCAGATACTTCGAAATAATGCCTGCATTGGCAACAACGACGTCTACGCGACCAAACGTCGCCTTTACATCTTCAGACAGCTTCTTGACGTCTGAATCCTTCCTCGTGTCGCAGATATTAGTGATAACTTTCACTTTGGGGTTGATACTCTCCAGCTCAGCCTTCAATTTATCCAGGTCTGACTGCGTATTGGAAGATATGGAAATCCCGCCTGCGCCAGCTTTCACATATGCCACTGCTATGGCGTAACCGAGTCCTTTCCCTGCTCCTGTGACCACAACGGTGAAATGGCTTGGAAGCTTGATGTTGTTTGGGTCAGTTGGGCCTTCGGCTTTATTGTGAATCCGTTTAGTAAACTGCATCCCAGCGTGAGCAGGAGCCGAATAAGTTGATAGTTCAGACATGCTTCCTTCGTGTACGTATCATTCAGCTACTTCATGAAGAGAAATACTATAGACGAGCGCGCAGGAAGCCCATTTCAAGACCAACGGTCAGTCTCGCAAGGTGGTGCCCCTCACTCTACGTCCGAGAATGGGACCGAAATATACCGAACTAGAGCATCACCCGCACACCTCCAAGAAATCGATTAGTGAACCCTTCGAAACACGTTCTGTCACCTTGATGCCTCAAGTTGATGAATTCCACACACTGGGCAAACCCTACATTTTTAATGTGATGGTGTTTCGTAACAACAGTAAAAGACTGAGTTATGGGAGGAATAGGTAACCATAAGGTATTTGTCCTTGCCACCCATACTAAGCTGAGAACAATTAAAAAGCTCTCAGCGAGTTTATAATAATGTATTTCTTCGATTCTATCTGGAAAAAAAGGAGTCTGCACACTTTCTATGAATCCAGCGAATCATCTTTCTGAGCAGCAAAATTTGTGCTCCAAGCTAATCTCTAACTCAACCAATATAATCTCACCTAAGCGGTGCTTCAGTTAATTAACTTCAGGTATCTAATTCTTGTCTATCCTTTCACATTTAGCTAGAGTATCTCTACCCTTCCTTGTTTTCTTCAGCAACTCTCGTTGGCCTACATGCCGCGCAATCATGCCAAATGTCAAAATCGTGGTGATGTTCCTGTGTGCGCATAAGCTAGCTGTTAAAAAGGGCGTTCAACGTCATCTTCATCGACTATAGTTATCTCTTCCTTGGATTTTTACTCCATCTCTCGTCTGTTAACTGCAGATAGAACCATTCCCCCATCTGCTCCGATTCTCTTCGTTGCTACTTGACGTTCTGCGCTCGAATTCCTCTTGGGGCGAAACCGACTTTTCCGACAGCTTTCTAATCTGTTTAGTGCCCATGTAAGTTGTTTGATATAGTCCCAGCTCTCTTTCTAGCCTATATCACGGCAATATCGAGCTGTTTATTAGTGAAAAAAAGCACGAATGCCCAAAGGCAGATTTACGCTTCATGGCTCCCTGGGATGATTTTTCGTTACAAAGCAGCTTCAGCACTTTGGCCCCTATGCCGATGTTTACAGCTTTTGGCAAAATGAAAATTTAAAGCAATAGCTTAATCTGAGGGCAATCTGGAGCTTGCATTGTATATCATGTTTATCAAGTTGAGATTGGACTGCCGTTTGCACGAGGGCAGAAATTGAAGCCCAGTAGTTCTATTTAGGGTCCTTGTTCAATTTTCCGTGAATGTAGTTATCGAACTGACTAGCAAAAAGTCATTTTCTAAGACCTGAGCTTAGAGAACACAAGTAATACTGATTTACGGCAAGGTAAAGAAAGTTCGGCAGCGAAGAACTGGTGTGACTTAAAAAAGGGCATTTACACTGGCATCAAGTACCGATGCTGATTGGCTAGGATTGGATGCGGCATCTAGAACTAGCTCGGACCCACTATAACTTTTCGCAGAAGTAGACGAGGCATGCACGAAACATAGAGAACTTCTACTACCCCCAAGCAGCGCTCCTGCGTGACTTCAAAATGAAAGCAAAACGTGCAAAACAATATCGCAAGCTCATGCAGCAGTATGCATTTTCCTTTGGGATACGTGAGCCCTACCAAGTGCTCCTTGACGCCGCTATTATCCAAGATGCGGACCGCTTTGCAATGGATCTTGTGAAGGGCCTTGAGCGCACGTTATGCGGCAAAGTCAAACCCAGTAAGTATACGCTGAAGGCTTCCAAGAACCATATGTTCATTTCCGACAGTGATCACGCAATGCTGTATGCGACACCTTTACAATTCCACGCCGAAGAACGAGGCCCTCATAGAACAAGCGAAAACCTTTGAAAGGCGGAGGTGCAATCACCATTTGCTCGAAGAGCCGTTGAGCACACTGAAGTGTCTTTCATCCGTGGTGGATCCGAAAGAACAAAATGTCAACAAACATCACTACGTGATTGCTAGTCAAGACGAGGATGTGCGCGCAAAGATGAGAAGCATACCCGGAGTACCGCAAATCTACATCAAAAGAAGCATCATGATTCTAGAGCCCATGGCTGGTGCATCAGAGGATGTCAGATCTCGTAGCGAGAGGAGCAAGTTCAAATTAGGCATTTCGAGAATGAGCGGGAGAGGCAGCGTACTTGGCAAACGAAGCAGGGAAAGCGACGAGGATGGCATAGAGAACAGAGGCAGCAATGGCGAAGTATCGACTGGTATGGACTCTCACAGCGAACCTGAAAGAAAGAAGAAAAGAAGAGGCCCCAAAGGGCCAAACCCTTTAAGTGTGAAGAAACCGAAAGTTCGAGAGCCACGCGAGAAGGCAAGCGGCAACAAATTACAACCAAGTCGGAATTCAACGCAACCTGTCGAAGGCGATGGTGTCAAGAAGAAGCGGAAACGGAAACATAAGGAAAAATCGACTGCAGCTGGTGCAGAAGCTGTTATCGATGACGCGAACAACTCCGATGGTTGAGCTGTAGCTCTGCTTATTTTCAATGTCGGAACTCTATACAATGACCAAGTCCTGGTCTTATGTGGCTCATTTATAGACTCTACCCATATCAGGAAGAATAACCTCCAAATGCGGTGAGGTGCAGGCTACTTGAAGGCATCGTGACTTTGCTGCCCATTTTCAGGAGAGTGATGCTTGTTGCACAACTCCCGCACGAGATAATCATACCTTCTTGCCCTGAGCAAGCAAATCCGACACTTTTGGAGGAAGTACCAGAGCGCTCTGGTCGTTGCGTTTGAAGAACTCGGCGATGACCTCCGCCGTGCGATCAGGAAGATCTTCTTGAATGAAATGGCCAGCAGCAGGAAACACCTGTAGCTGAAATTTACCTAGACGTATTTTAGTCATGTGCCTCACATGTTGATGTAAAACCACAGCGAACCTTGCATCTGTCCTATCATCAATTCCTTGTCTAACCTGTCGGTTCCTGCGAGCAACAATAGCTTCGCACCCCTCCCGCTGAGAAACTTCTTGCTCATTCCGTCGAACCAGTTCTGCCAGTAGGCCTCAGTTCTACTTAAGTCCGTCCGCCACTTCCACCTTCCTGCTCCGTCGTCAATCAAGAGGCTGGGCACGCTCGCCTTTGCGCTATCGATGTTTCGTAGAGTTCTAGATCGAATGTGCCATGTGATTGCCTGATCTAGAGACGTGAATAACGAAGGCCGAGACGCCAAATACGAATTCATGCTTTTAAGGGCATCCATTGCCGAGCCTTCGACTACGTCTAAAACAGAATATCCTAGCAATTTAGAGCGCAGATCTGACGGGCAGTTTGAGGCGAGGTGGGTGACAACCGCGCCGCCTAACGAGTGGCCGACAAGGAGCAGCCGTGGAAGAACTGCCCACGATTGTTTGGAAGCGGTGAGAAGGATCATGCGGTGCAGGTCCGAAGACAATTTTGCGATGGACAGATCATCGTCGATTTCGCCCGTGTCTGTGTAGACGACGCTCCCGTGCTCTCGCGCTTCAACCGCAAGTATCCCAGCCTCAGGTAGCAACCGCTTCAATTCGACAGCAAACAATGCGAACGACATCGCGCTCGACCCAGCCCCATGATGTAGCACAATCAAAGGTGCCTTATCTGTTGCCGGGGGTGAAAAATAGGCATGATACTTTGCATTCGTGTCTTCAAGCCATAGCTCCTGTGCGAAGAAGTCCGACCAGGGTAGGACAACCGCAGGCTTGTACGGTCCAGATGGAACAACAGTGCCAGTCGAAGACATGGACGAGGCTGAACTCGAATCGCCGTCATCCTCGGGCCCTCCAGTCCGTCCGTCCTCGAACAATGGGGGCTCTGGTAGTAGCGAGGTGAGCTTCGATTTTGCAAAGTTCCGCGCAAGATCTGACATCGCAGCTAAATGCACTCTTCAAGACGGATAGGTAACACGGAAGACTTAGCTAGCCTGGCTAATTCGATTTGGAAAAGTCACATGTCAGATCTGAACTAAATGGCTGGATACCTTTAGACGTTTGTGGGTGGGATGTACAATGTGGCGTATTCTCTCCGATCCTTGCCAGCGAGCCAAAGAACGCGTGGGGCTAGATGGGAGCTGGATGCTTCATCACATAAGCCAGGCAGCTTTGCTTGCGTGCCAAGTAGACGATAATGCAGAAATTCCTGCAAATCGAGTTGAAATTCCTGCGGATTCGATCTACCGTGGCTAGCGGATGAACTAGACTGACCGATCGAGTTCACAAGACGCGCCGTTTTTGCCATCATGACGTAGTTCCAACTAAAGCGTAGCTCATGAAAATGCCCCCCTCCCCATCACCAGACCATTATCTCCTATGAATTTGGGGCAAAGTCTGCTGTGGGAAACATTTTTTTTCCTCCGTTCTCTTTTCTTACAAACGTAGAATATCTTTCCAGAATGGCGATTTGGGGCAGCAAGAAGAACGATCTGCGCGGAGACGTGGCGACGACTAATGGGGAGAGCAGTCGACCTAGTCATGAAGAGCCGACGGAAAGAACCCGTTTGCTACAAGAAAGGCCTCCTCCAGTCAGGCACGATGGCTACTTGGACCCAGATGATCCAGCCGTGAGTTCTCAAGGCTGAAAAGGCATACAAATATTCAGGTGCTAACAGAGACCAGGTGTCTCCCTACAACCTGTGGACGGTACGATTCTTGCGTTATCTCACCATCGTATTTCTCGCAATTACCTTCCTGTGGTGGGTGTTGTTACTAGTATCAATTTTTGTTTCGCCGTAAGTGTTGCTCTGTGCAAGTATCTTCCGATCGCTTACGTGTACCAGACCCAAGATGCACTCACGAGGCTCGGGTTTCTTCGACTTCTCCTACACCACTCTAACCGTCGGCAACCTTGTCGTTGCGCTCCTGTTCTTCGCCAATCCATCTCGAGCAATGCGAATACTCACCTACTTGATTGGTGGCCTATTGCTCATTGACATGATTATTATCGTAGCAGTTGGCAGGCTTAGACAGGAGGAAGGCTGGGTTGGTATTGCGTCGGTCGTTTGGGCCACGTTGATCTCGTTATGGTGCGCCATCACGGACAGAGTCGTTGCGTGGGGGAAGAAGGAGGAAGAGGAGCGATTGACGGGACGACCAGAAACGAGAAGGACGCTGAAAGAATGGCTCGGCGTTATGATATCCACCATTTTCCTCACTATTTTTGTCGCTATTGTTGTGCTTATGACAGCGACACTTATCATTCGAGCTCGAGATTCGTCCTTGGAATGGCACGGTGATCGGATATATGTCGATGGTGACAAGTATCAAGTACATCTTGCCTGTGTCGGGAATGTTACCTATACCACCGGTGGAAAACGGGTTCCTACTGTCCTTTTGGAGGCTGGCGAATATCCCTCTGAGTACGACTTTGAGAATTGGGCGCATGCGTCGTACAGAAACGGAACAATTGCTAGGTACTGCTATTGGGACCGCCCTGGCTACGCTTGGTCGGACAATGCACCTTCTCCACATTCAGCTGGTATGAGTGCAAGGGCTTTATCGGAAGCACTTGCGAAGAGCGGTGAAGAAGGCCCCTGGATTTTAGTTTCGGCCGGCTACGGAAGTTTGGTATCACGCATTTTCAGCAGCACGCATATACATGATGTTGCCGGCATTATGCTTGTCGATCCTCTGCATGAGGACCTGTTGTCTAGGATTGGCTCTGCAGGCCGTGGATTTGTACTGTGGGGTTATGGCATCCTGTCTCCGCTTGGATTCCAACGTATCGCCGGCGCCATCTTCAAGGGTCGCACTCGAGAGGATCGTGTGTATGGAAAAAGCGCCTATCAAGGCGGAAAATTCATCAAAGCACAGCTCCAGGAGAATCTCGTCGCGGAGTCGCTAACGAAGAACGACATCGCTTCCGCGCGCAATATTCAGCAGAGAGATACGCCTCTCGTGGTGATCAGCTCCGGGATCAAAGTCAGGACTGACAAAGATTGGGAGTCTAAGCAGGAGGATATGACAAAGATTACGGACAATTTGCTCAGCTGGAGCGTTGTCAACAAGGCTCCACATGAAGTGTGGAAGACCTACGATGGCCGCGTTGAGATGGAGAAGGGTCTGAAGAAGCTTATGAAAGCATGGAAGAAAACGAAATGATTTGATATTTCTATTTGAGTTGGTATGCCAGCAGTCCAGTAATTCGGCTTCTTGTGGTAGCACACAAATATATCTGATTTAAGCGTAGCGTGGCTTTAATTTAATACGACTGCGTACAGATTTCATTATGATCAGACGTCTTGCTGCGAAGCATCCAAGCGTAGTTACTGCCGTTGTGGAAACTCATGATTCAGAGACGTTGCAGAAGAACTTCCGCTCCGTCCTCTTATCGACGTTTGACGCCTGCAAAAATGGTTAGATGCTCACTCGAGATAGTCTCCATTGGTCTCCTTGTGGATCAGATCAAAGATAGGTTTTGCAGAAAACCATCCGAAAAGAGGAGTACCGGTAGTATTGTATGTAAATTGCGCATCCTCGTCGTTGATCTTCACCGTCTCGTGGCCTCTGCCACCAGCTGCGGCATCAGCAAGAAGCTGTGCCTGGCAGCACTTGTCCAGGCTTATGAACCAGAAGACTGCAGCTTCGACTGTCTCGCCAACCGTCAACAGACCGTGATTTCCAAGCAAGGCGGCCTTTTTAGATCCAAGACACTTGGCAATGTTTTCGCCTTCTTCTTTGGCAAGGACTACGCCGTTGAAGTTCTCGTAAAGGACATGGTCGTTGTAGAAGGAGCACGAGTCCTGTGTGATGATGTCCAACTTCCTTCCAAGTGTGCAGAAACTTCGTCCGTAGATGCTATGACTGTGTGCTGCCGCGTTGACATCGGGACGAGCCGTGTGAACGGCGTGGTGTATCATATAAGCAGCAGTGTTTAGCAAACGTACGGGGCCACCATCGATGACCTCGCCATTCTCACCGACTCTGATCAAGTCCGACTTCTTCATGAGTGAGAACGAGACACCGAGAGGGTTGACCCAAAATGTATTTTTCTCAACAGGATCTCTAACGGTGATGTGACCAGCGATGCCTTCGTCGAAGCCATACTTGCCAAAAATGCGAAACGCCGCGGCTAGTCGCCCTTTGAGATAGTCGCGCTCTTCATACGGGTCGTCAAACTTTGGAGGCGAGGGGAAGATCACTTTGGGCGCCACGGGTTTCGTGGTGTCGCCTCCGTTCTCTGATGACACTGGCTCTTCAACATGTGGCGCCATTGTCGGATTTTCAACCTAGAGAGACTCTCGTGAAGAAAAATGCGAAGGAAGATTTGGATGCGCGGAGACGAGGATTGGAAATTCACACAAGCGGAGACTCTGAACGGTTGTTATACTACTTCGGTTCATCGAAGATACCTGTAAGCGGGGAAGCTGCTGCCAAAAGAGCAAAGTACCGAGCATAAGGCAGAGGCAACATAGGCTGAGATCTACAAAGCACCATGCCACAAGACTGCCGCTCCGCAACAACGGCGCAGTTCTATGAGTGTGAGCATGCTCAGAGTAGGAAAGACTTCTTTTCTTCCACTGGGAAGCTGCCCGGCCGAGTGCACACTTTCGACATGGAGTTGTGAGCTGAGATGCAGATCCGTGCCTGATCGAGACGAAGCCAGTGCTGAGTCGGATGAAGACAATTCGAAAGACATGCTTAGGCATGCGCACAAGGAAGACGGCTAACTTGGATTTTCCTGACTGTCGCGTGAGACGCCTCATGGATGATGATCCGACCACAGAACCGGCTGGGAGGTCGAGGGTGGTGCAGTGGTGGTGCGGAAGCCCTCCGTGACGGGCTCCGGCAACGGAGGTCAAATGCTGCGCCCTAGACATGTCAATACGACCACTGTACGAGCTGGAAAGAATATGCTCGAAGGGTTTGTTCCCTGTCATGCGAGGAGCAGCCAGCGAAGACGAGCAGAACGAGGCGCAGGCTTCAAGTGTTCACCGGAAGAGCACACGGAGGCAGCAAAGAGCACACATTTATGGCCTTCCTTTGCAGAAGCCGCATTAACAATCACAGCGAGCCGATCGGAACAAGCAACAGGTGATTGAAAAGCACAGCGAACAGCGTTGGAAGCGGTTTTGGTAGGCTTCTAGAAAAGGTGGAGATTCTGCTTTGTCCTAGACAGGAATAAAGAACCCACAACTCGCCGTCGCTGGCCATTCACAGGCCTCGAAGCCGCTGCAGGAGAACGCACCACTGCAAGACCAGACAGGGTGACCATCGCTTCGCCCGCTCGAACGCTGCACAAAGCGCGCCCTTTGCTCGACAAGCTTATCCAGCACCGGCTCGGCCAAGCCTTACGCCTCTATGACTCCTCGGGAATTCCTCTCATAAAAACACATTCCAACTCTTGTCATCTTCCGAAGTACTTCCACGCGCCCTTTAATCCATCAAAGGGCGACCGCTCCGGCTCACTCAATTTGAGAAGTCTTGCCCTTGATTGGGCTTAGCTAGCTCGCAATGGCGGGCTCAGATCAGGATTCCATGGGCCAATTTTTCGATTTTGGAGGCATCACGGAACCAGAGGCTATGGATTCGCACCTTGCGTTGTCGAACGATCCACAGTTGGAGCCAGCGGAGGGGGATCTGCTCCCGGATCTGTCCAACGCGGTCTCGACATACATCAGCAACTGTTCAGTCCACCCGTATGAAGCGTGAGTGGACCCACCTCTTGATACATGGGGTGGATTGCTTACAAAGACAACAGTTGCTTGTGCGACAAGATCATTGCAGACTTTGGTCTAGACGAGCCAGACTGCGACACCAGTCTTCAGCCGGAGAACTACGCCAATTTCAAGGCGTGGATTCCTAGATATTCAAAGCCGGACCGCGCTTGCGACTACTGCAGGTCGAAGGGTCTAGAGTGCTTTTTCACTTACGAGGGCCAGCACTTCTGCTCGCCATGCAACGCCTTGTTCAGGCAGTGCAGCTTTGCAACCAACAAAACCCGCCCTAACGTCGTCATGGACACCTTGCACACCGTGGCCGAAGACCAAGTCCAGGAGCAGGGCGCCCTCACAGGCATCACTGCTATGAAGTCTTGGGACCGAGCTGGCTTCGATTATCTTGACGAGGAGCATGACCGTCCCAGCCGAAAGACTGGTACACGGTTCCCTCGGGCAGCCGTTAAGGTGCTCAAGGATTGGATGGACGCGCACGCCGACCATCCCTATCCTACAGAGCAAGAAAAGGAAGACCTACAAGCACTCACAGGGTTAAAAGCTACACAGATCACCAACTGGATGGCCAACACCAGGAGAAGGAGGAAGACTCGGAACCGCGGTGTCTCTCCAAGCATTCGCTCTCCAACATGGCCGACTGGCTCAGATGCCATTGATGTCCCCTTCGACAAGAAGAGCATTAGACATAACGGAAAGACCTGGGACTTCATGAATCCTCTCGAACGTTGGCAGCACTCTCCGCCTGAAAATGAACCGGCTCGCATCCCGGATATCGTGGATGCCGTTGAGAAAACAAAATCTTCTCGAACAGACTCGTACTCATCTTTCTCCAGTTCTGCGGGCGCACGACCTGGCTTTTTATCAAGCGCCGGATCGAGTTCATCTCTCGTGCAGCACCGTGCACCGTCCGTCACCAGTTTGGGTACCGGACAATCGGACTCCTTTGGTTCATTACTTTCCTCGGGATCATTGGGATCATCTCTTTCTCAAAACTCTCGCAACTCCTTTGGCTCTAGCAGGACCAAGGATCGACGACGACGACGAAGAACGGCGGCGAATCCCTCGAAGAGCAAACGCGTTCAAGAGACGCGGCCTTTCCAGTGCACGTTTTGCACAGATCGTTTCAGGACGAAATATGACTGGGCGAGGCACGAAAAGTCTTTACATCTCAGTTTAGAGAAGTGGATGTGTGCCCCGCTTGGTCCAGTCTGGACCGGTCCTTCTGGTCAGGAGCAATGTGTTTATTGTGGAGAGAACGACCCGACAGAAGAGCATATTGAAACGCACAATCACAAAGCATGCGAAGAGAAAGGTCGGGATGCTCGAACCTTCTACAGGAAAGACCACCTCCGACAACATCTGCGACTTGTACACGGCTGTAAAATGCTCGAGACCATGGACAACTGGAAGTCGGAAGCGGTCTACATAAAGAGTCGCTGCGGTTTTTGCAAGCAAGAATTCACGCGCTGGCAGGATAGGATCGACCACATTGCCAAGCACTTCAGAGCTGGTGCTCAGATGAAGGATTGGAAGGGCTGTCGCGGCTTAGATCCAGCTGTCGCTGCCCAGGTCACAAACGCGATGCCACCATATCTAATTGGCAACGAATCGTTAAGCCCTTTCCCGTTCAGCGCCTCCAATGAAGCAACATGGGGCCAACTACGCCTTACCGTTGGCCCAGGTAACGATTTGGAGTACACCATGAGCGATGGCCCTAATTGGGAATCACTCATTGGCCCAGAGTCCATGCAGGAAGTTGTGTCGACGATGCCCGACTTCGACGGAATGTTTGCCAGTACTGCTCCAGCAACATGTGATGCACTTGCCATGGAGCCTCTGTACAAAACCATGGACCATAGTCTGAGTCACAGGTCGCCGACGAGGTCAAACCAGGGCGCTCTAACATGCTGGGAGATATTAACCGTCAGGTTGGGCCAGTACGCGCGCGAACAGATGGCCATGGGTATTATCCCGACAGACGAGATGTTGCAATCGAAAGCGCGAAGGATCCTTTACGAAGACGACGACACATGGAACCAAACAGCAGCGGACAACAGCGAATGGCTCGAGCTGTTCAAGAAGGCGCACGGCATGCCAAGCACTGCAACAGATGTTCGAGTCGACTTCGACGAGGACCTAGGTGCCCGAATCGGCGAACTCAACTTTGACGGTCTCATGTTCGACAATAATGCAACAGGGTGGGATTTGGCTCAGCAGCAGAGCATGGCCATGACAGTGGATGGCGTTGTAAACAAGTTTGCGGTGCCTGCAACTATGGCGGGTAGCCTGGGTGCGACCTTTGGCACTTCAATACCTGACGCATCTTAATAAACTGCAGGAATTGTTCGGACTGTTGCAATGTGCGTTATGGGTTTTTTTTTTTCTTTGCAGGCGTCGCAAAACAAACAATGATCAGGTTTCAATGGCGTTCTAGAGTCCTTTATACCTATGAAAAATCCGATCAACTTCGGTGGAGCTCATGAGACGTGTACGCTGTTTCATCACAGTCGGATTCTGTCATGGGGAAATAGACAGGTCGGAGCAGTATAGACAGGTAACCGGTAACTTAATGACTAATAATAAGTCAAAACGTGGTTCGTGCGTGCAAGGAGAAACAGAGAAAGCTCTACGTTATGTTACGGTTCGTCTTCGGTGCAAACATACACACACATATAGGCGTACGTGTCAGGAGAGCAGATTGCGTAGCTGTTTGCTCCTCTGAGCGGATCCGAATGGAGTCGAGTCGCACTTTTTCAACGTCGGACGCGTCAGAAGCCCGAACGTCATATGATACTGTAGCGAGCCGCAAGCGACGGCGGGCACAGCCCGCGCCCAAAATCCAACGGTCAAACCTAATTAAGCCACGCAGCCACTCATCTCAGGAGGTACATGCAGGACCCCACAGCCCGATCTGTAACTTGTAAGATTGCTCCAATGGCGATTTACATCCAGGATTGTATAGTCTGGCCATGCCGGTGCCCTAATTACTTATCCCTTACGCTTTGAATGCCGGGCGATGAAATTTCTCTTCAAGATCGCCTCTTGTCTTTCTCCGTGAGCATCGACAGCCATCATGAGCTACGCATACGGTGATCCGAGGTCGACGCGCAATCACTTTAGAGAACCCCAGCACATTGGGCATGACATTGTCGCTGGCGTGAGGAAGGCCGCGGACACGTGTGCGGCGATAATGTCGGAAGACTACCTACGACGACGGAGAGGCCGGCCATACAGCGAGGAAGCCAAGCGGAAAGGATGGTTCAGGCAGTTGTTCACAGTCGTGCTGCTCTTGCAGGTCCTGTGGATATGGGCACTCTACTACGGCGAAAGGTTGATCTTTTCGAAATCAATAGAGGCCTGTGACTGGCACCACTGGGAAAGTTGGGTGCGTACAACGTTCCTACATGATCCGGGATTTTGTCAGTTGCTGACGGTCGATTTAGCCTCGAGGTGCCAATCCTCATCACGTTGCCTTCGTAGCAGACCCTCAACTCGTCGACCCTCACACGTACCCGGGCAGGCCATGGCCCCTCTCTACCCTCACAGTCAAATACACCGATCTATATCTCAAGCGGGTGTATAAGCTCATGCAGGAGCGTCTGTACCCGGACACCACCATCTTCCTAGGAGATCTCTTCGATGGAGGCCGAGAGTGGTCCGTCTCCGGTGGAGGCAGGTGGAACAACCCTGAGAAGAACTGGAAGGCCTACGGCGAGTCCTTCTGGTTAAATGAATACAACCGTTTTGGCAAGATCTTTTTTGACACGTTCACAAAAGCCGGTGTTGCACCAAGGAAGGGTCAAAGGGATAGGCGGCGATTGATTGCGAGTCTCCCAGGAAATCACGATCTAGGGTTTGGAAATGGCGTCCACCTGCCCGTCAGAAAACGATTCGAGGCTTATTTTGGAGAGGGCAACAGAGTAGACATCATCGGGAACCACTCGTTCATTTCGGTCGACGGCGTTTCGCTCAGCGCAAAAGATCACCCCGACGAGAAGGATGCTGAGCAGGTGTGGAAACCGACGGAGGAGTTTCTCAGCACCATTCAGGACACAAGGATGAAGGCCATTGCGGAAGATCTGAGAAAGCAGTTCGGCGTTTCATTCAAAGGCCGGTACAAGCACGAAATCTACGAGACACGAGAATTGAAAAAAGCATACCTTCCCGTCAACGAGGGTCTCGATTCTTCCGGTTATCCCGCCGTGCTTCTCAGTCATGTACCTCTCTACAGAGATCCGGACACGCCGTGCGGGCCGAAGCGTGAGCGCTACCCGCAGGGGAGAGATGCACGCGGGAAACTTCTTGAGAAAGATCCGCGAAACTCAATCCTTGTGCAAGCGGGTTACCAGTATCAGAATGTACTCTCTGGCGAAAGAACGCTAGAGATCACAAGCCAGATCGGTGATGTCCGATACGCGTTTTCGGGAGACGACCACGACTACTGCGAAACGAAGCACATGCGATTTCCCTCCGGCGGTGGAGGCATTCGTGAGATCACCGTCAAAACATTGTCTTGGGCCATGGGTGTCAGAAGACCCGGCGTCCAGCTCGTCACACTTTGGAATCCTGTGGATGAGGAAGGTTTGTCGATTGAAGGTCCAATCGACATTCCCACATTGCAATCGCATCTTTGCTTGCTGCCAGACCAGCTGAGCATCTTCATCAAATACGGTTTGCTCTTTCTTTTTACTGTGTCAGTCCTTCTCATCAGAGCTGCACACATGTCGCTAAACCCGTCAAAATCTCCCTTTGGCGGTGCAGAAAGTCCCGTCCTCCCGACCATCAATGCACCTGAGTACGTGCCCGAGGCTGAGGAAGCACTCACATCATCCTCGGACGACGGTTCTGGCTCAGGGAGCCGCCATGGCCGCCGGTCGCGCGCCGCGACACTCACAGGGCGCTCAGGAAGTCCTGCAAAGCCTTTGAGCGGAATCTATGGCTCGCCGTCCCCAGCAAAAGGATACGGCGTGCCACTTATACAACACGCGGGTTACTTCGGTCCGGCAGAGTTCGAAAAAGAGAAAAAGTCTTTGTCATTTGTAGATACGAGACCGAAGAAAGCAAAGCGTTTGAAGGGTCTCGCACTGTTATATGCGGAGTTTAAATGGACGGTCTTGAGGGTTGCATTTGTGGCGTTTCCTTGGTATCTCTGGCTTTTATGGTCGGATGGCTGAACATCTGTAATCGTATCTTTCCATGTGTGCTCCTAATGTGTAGTCATTACTACTTGGTCTCTCTGTTCATGATTCAGAAGTCCTCCTTTTTTGCTCATTTCTGCTCTATTCGGCACTTCTGTCCCTGCATGCGGCTCTTTCCGATATGGTTGTCTTCATCAGCATACTTTTGCATTCAGTTGATGCGAATTTCCTGATTGGGTGACGCTAGCGCGCGGCTGAGCCAAGTCCTTTGTGTGAATTATCTCAGCAAACACTGACGTCTCGTGGAAAATCTCAATAAATCCTTCGAGACACTGTGCCCGGATTTCCGCAGTGAAAATGGCAATCGACCAGCCATCTGCACATGAAGTCGTTATTTTCGGCCAAGATCAGGGAAGATTTCCCGATCTCCGCCTTCTCCACTACAACGATGTCTATCACATAGATGCCTCCTCCGCTGAGCCCGTGGGCGGCATTGCGCGGTTCATGACGCTGTCGAAGTATTACAGGGATGATGATAAATTTAGGAACCAGGCGGAATTGCTGACTTTCTTCTCTGGCGACGCTTGGAATCCGAGTCTGGAAAGTTCCGTCACCAAGGGTATGTTCGACTACGATTGCGATATCAATGGAGGATCTTCAGCTAACACCGCCGCCAGGCTCGCATATGGTTCCGTTTTTGAACAACATCGGCACCGACGCAGCGTGCATAGGCAACCATGATCTCGACTTTGGCGTTAAGCAGTTTCGCAACCTCGCTTCGCAATGCAAGTTCCCCTGGCTTCTGGCTAACGTTCTAGATCCTGAACTGGGTGAAAATGTGCCGCTCGCGAATTGCTTGCCAACACTTATGCTCACTTCGTCGAACGGAATCAAGGTTGGTCTGATCGGCCTTGCTGAGCGAGAATGGCTGGATACTATTAATTCACTGCCCCCAAATTTGATATACAAGTCTGCCTCGGCTACGGCCAAGGAACTTGCGCCCAAGCTGAGAGAGCAAGGAGCAGAAATCATAATTGCTCTTACTCATCAGCGTGAGCCAAACGACAATAAGCTAGCGGAGAACGTGCCAGAAGGAATGCTAGATCTGGTTCTTGGCGGCCATGATCATTTCTACAACCACAGCTTCCGGAATGGATGCCACGTTCTGCGCTCGGGTACTGACTTCAAAAACTTGAGCTATATTGAGGCGTGGCGCCGCTCAGGTACAGAGGGTTCGGCGTCGAAATGGGACTTCAAGATCATCAGACGTGATGTGGTGGCAAGCATTTCAGAGGATGAGGACTCGGTGGCCTTGGCCAGGAAACTTACGGAATCGCTTAAAGCGAAACTTGAAAAGCCGATCGGGTACACGCTTGCCCCGCTGGATGCTCGATTTGTCACAGTCAGGACGAAGGAGAGCAACTACGGCAACTTCGTTTGCGACTTGATGAAGTTCTACTACCAAGGCGACTGCTGTTTGATAGCTAGCGGAACAATCCGTGGCGATCAGATATATGCGCCGGGCATCATAAGGTTGAAAGATATCTTGGACTGGTAAGGCTGGATGCAGGTTCCCGCTCGACTGACGCTGCTGACAAGACCAAGTTTTCCTTTCGAAGACCCCGTGATAGTTATCATGGTAACAGGAGAAGCATTACTAGAAGCGTTAGAAAACTCGGTCTCAATGTATCCTGCGTTAGAAGGGAGATTTCCACAGGTGTCTGGAATTGAAATGGAATTTGACCCAAATGTTCCCCGGATGAAACGCATCAAAACCGTCCTTATCAATGGTCAGCCGCTGGACACCGGTCGGAAGTACAAGTTGGTCACAAGGGGCTACATGGGTCGTGGAAAAGACGGTTATGATGCATTGCTTGTCAAGTCAGAAGGAGGTGAGTGTGAGGAGATTGTAAGTGAAGAAAACGGCGTTTTGATCTCCACGATTTTACGTCAATACTTCATGTCTTTGAAAGTAGTCGAGAAGTGGAGATCATGGAGTAAATCCCTTGGTCGATGCTTTGGTCACATACACGAGCAAGTGCACTTGCACCATCCTGTTGTTGAGCCGAGCAACAGTCCTGGGGCGAGTCCCGTATCGATGAACAAGTACCCCAGCAGAATGAGAGCCAATGACAAAGCGTTGGATGAGGATGAAGACGAAAATGACTTCACTCCAGTACCGGACATTGTTGCGGCTCACGAGAGGGAACTTGCGATCATGAGAAAGGTGATGCGAAAGTGGAGAAGGCTGGCTGGACTACCCGGCGATCCTGCACTGTGTGACAAGATGGACGAAGGAGAATTCACGGTCAACTGGACAAAGGTAATTTTTTTTTCCCTTTATTTCCCTCGCAAAGTTTTGTGGAGTTTATTAATCAGTCATGTAGGCAATAGCACCACGGCTCGAGGGACGCATTAAGATGGTGCAATCGTGAAAGCTTCCTCAACACCACTCCACCCTGACTCATGCTCTGCATTCTAGCATAAGACTCAAGTCGCAAAAAGACGCTATCGTTTTGCCTTCCGGAGCCATTCTTATGCTTCGATACTACCTTCCCCTTCCCCTTGGTCTTTGTTCGTGCCGTCTAGCCAGTGGACTGGTTGATTTCACCGGCCACGACATTTAACGAAAAGACGAATCACCTCTCCGTCATCTTGATCGGTGAGCAGTCACAGATTCCAAAGGCCTACATTTATGTGTGACTCAAATGTACTCGTCATCCTCCGATTTGATTTGAATCTGAGAATAGCCTGCCCTCACCTTAGCACGGTTGACAATAAACGTAGCATCCTTACCCTTCTCAGCCGAGTGTACTGCATTGTTGGCCTTGCTCCATTGACCCTTGTTCGCGTTATGAGAAGCGCCAGTAACAACCCGCTTTCGCTTTTTTGCTACAGCCGCGAGCTCAGAGGTTACAGATGGTCGGCCGATGAGTGCGGGCTCGAAGGCCTCACCTTTCCTCTTCCTGTCGAGCAGTTCACCAGCTAGCTTGTTGGCGGCACGAAGGCTGTGCTCCAAGCTAGACACTGTGCGCGTGCCATCTAGCGCCGCCATATCTTGGTACCAAGAGCTAGCGGTGCCGCCAGATGACTTCAGAGCCATTAGAAGCACGATAACCACGACTTCATCGTACTGTTTTCCTTTGTTTAAACTGCTCGATTTTGTCGCCATCTTGGGTCATTGACAAGAGACTGAATGATTGGGTGACGGGAATGCGCGTAACGGAAGGAAGATGAGAACGCTGAGACGTCGAAGATAGCCCTCGCAAAGTGAGATCTCGAGACGGGATCTCGGGATATCAAAAAGCAAAATTGTAAGCTGGTACGAGCGCCACTATGTGCGTAAGGTTTAGTTGTGAAGCTGGTGTTGACCCAGTTCGTTCTTTGTGTAGACTTCCGGCGGTTGCAAGGTGGAGATGATTGCCCAGGTTACAGGCTGTTACTTAATGGTAACACGAAGGTTTTCAACATTCACTCTCAGCTCGTAGACGGGTTCTGTTCGGTTCAGCTTCTTCTCTTTCCTTGCAGGGCGTGCGTCTAATTGCATTTCAGAAATTATAATACATGGTATATTTGTGCTGCATTTTGCCGCAAACTGACTCCAAAGCCAGAGAAAAGAGTGAGTTTAAGTCACTCACCTCTACAAAATGCGTGTTAAAATTAATGCGTAAAAAAGAGAACCTAGTTTTCTTCTGGAAAATATCTTCCCCAAAAAATAAATCAAGTGCGCCAGCGTTGAAGAGACGCCCAAGCTCGTCAACTCTACGTAAATGCGGTATGTACTTATGCGAAAGTCATCTTAATCTCCTTTCCTTGTCCAAAATCGTCATACTCATCAGCCCATGCATTATGGTCCGCTCGCATATCTACGGGAGCCGTCGAGTGTTGCTTCAGGGGAGGGCGTTCTGATGGCATTGGTGACCGTCTACTTACATCGCTTGTTGGTAAATCGAATGACATGGTAATTTCGCCGCTTTCATTTTCGTAAGGGAAGTGGTCACTGTAATCAAAAGTCGACTTATGGGTTGCAGACGGCATACTTAGAGCTGGACTCGGTGCGGTAACGTCATTTTGGCTTCTTGTTGCTCTCAGAGGCAGTGGTGTCGGTTCCGGTGTATTTCCGTTTGAATCGATTGTGATCTTCATCGGTGGCAGTGTGCTCTCCAATTGCTTGACCTGAATCTCATGGCCAGTGAGTTCTTTGACCTCAGCCCGTATAGCATCAATGTCAAAGAGAACGCCCTCAGCCCTTTTCTCCAACTGCCCTTGCGTCAATTCGGGTTCTTCAGTGATCGCGTCACCCTCGTACACCTCCCACTCTTTCTTCTCAGTCTTCTTCTTACGCCAGAATGCGAACTTGCTTTGCTTTTTATTCGCTTGCTTCTCATCTAGCTGCTTCCTCGCTTCTTCGATTTCGTTGATTAGCTCACGTTGACGCTTTTCGTGATTCTCCGGATCTGGGTCCTCAATCTCGGTAAACTCGTCAGAGGTGACTTCCCAACCAACCTCACGCAATAAGCGTGGCATGGCCGCACGGTAGGACATATGCCCGGGAACCCATTCCGTGACGTTAACGTTTTCGATATCAGGTACATCGTCAACCGGGGTCAAGCCGGCAACCTTTGCTATACCACCTCCAGTTATACGGAAGAGGTAGGCTGTAGCTAAGTCAGTTGAAAGCAGCAAATTAATGAAAGGATTTAGCCCTACCCAAAATCCAGTCATTACGTGAGTAAGCATTCAAAAAGCGACCGGAAACAACCGATCTGCACTTTGTAAATTCATTCTTGTTCGCGATAACTGGAGCGCCAAAGATGTACACGTTCTGAACTAAACCAGGCCGCCCTTTCTTTGCTAATTCCTTCAAGCAAGAAAAGATAACCCGAGCGCCAAGTGAGAAGCCGACGAGTGTGATTGGCCTCGAGCCCAGATTTCGGTCGATAAGCGAGTCAGCCAGAATCAACCCCGCAAGATCTGCACGTGCTAGAGATACGTTCCATGGATTATCGATGAGGTATGAGAGCTTCGTGAGTAAAATTGGCACTTGCAACGCAGCCATAAGAGTGATGAGGATCGTGCTTCCCAAGACTTGCTGCAGTGTTTGTGTGAGCGCCTCCGTGGCAAGGATGCTGATTGTCTGACCCATAGATTGTAGCATCTCCGGTTCCCAGTGTATTGAGTAGATGTCGCCCATGATAGGATCAACAGTACTGAATGGTAGTCTAACATCGTCTACTTTACCATTCATCCAGCCAGCTATAGTGACAATCAGATTGACACGCTTGTTGTTATGCAAGGGGCGATATTCAAATGTCTTCACAGCGCCTGTTCGTCTGTCTGCAGCTCGGACGCCGATGGTACCTCCAGTTACGATTCCGGTGGTTGTGACAATCGCCGCGCCTCCAGCTCCGGCAAGAAAACCGCTCGTGCCTGCTACACCGATAGTGGTGAATCCAGCTGCCAAGCCGGCGCCGATGAACGGCGCAAGTAGACCCGCCGAAAGACCAATAACCAAACTACCACCCACGGTAGCAAGACCCATAACCATAAGTCTCTTTTTTCTCGCTTGCTTGCGACGTGCTTCTAGATGCTCTTCTTCGTTCCAATTCTCCTTATCAGCGGCCTCTTGCATCTCTAGAGCGTCGGTGACGCGTTTCTCGAAACGACAAATATCGAGCCACGACACCTCCAGATGCTGAGCAACGCGCTCAAGAAGTCTTCTGGACCGAGCATCGTATGTGGCGTCTGCAATGAGGATCAGGAAGAAGTCGCAGAGCACGGTCCATCTAATGTCGATATCGAGATCTTTCGTGTCTTCCACCTCAGAAAGAGGCTTGATGTCTGTTGATTGTGGTGACGGAGATTTTGGTATGTGCTCGTCGTACGGCAAAGGTTCTCCAGTAACACTCGGTGAGCGTAGAGCTGGTGAGGGAAAGGGCGACTTTGACTGCGAATCTATTCCAGGTGACTTCAGTCCCGAAGACGAAACAGACGTTCGTTTTCCAAATGGAGATGGAATGGAAAAATGAGACGATTCAGAGCGTCGTGGCGTGGATGAAGCGGATTTGCTAGAGTCTGCGTCTACCTGATCTTTCTCGTGCTTTTTGTCACTTCCTTCAGCATCCGGGCGTTTAATCTTCGCATTGATCATGAGCGCCGGCTTGAGATCCGATGCTTGCACGCCATGTGAGGTTAATTGCTCTATCATAACCTGCTCATCTGCGCCGATCTCCATGTGAGCGTAGAGTCGCAGCATCATCTTTTGCGACCACATCTGTAGAGATGCTGCCGCGAACTGGACAGCCTTTTTAGTTTGCTTGTTCTTTTCCAGCTTTTCCAAATCATTGAGCATTTCAATCATGGTGAGCCGAACGATTCCGACATAGGCAATTCGTTGTCCTTCGGTGAGCAGTTCTTTGGTCGCCTGCATTTGTCCCAAGGCATCTCTGATTTCTTCATCGTCTTCTGTAACTGTAGTGCCTTTAGCACCATCTTTAAACAGGTATGCGGTATTATCGTCCATGCTTGTCGTCGACTGCGCATCTTCGTCGAGCTGCAATCTTGTGTATCCTTTACCTGCTCCACCTAGGGCGCCATATTGCACCATGTCGTCATCATAGTCGTGCGCCTCTTTTGCAATGAGCTTGTTATTGTCGTCGTAAATGTCGAACGGTGCATATGCCGGCATAGCCTGCCACTCGCCCTCATCTTCCGCTTCCTCTTTCTCCAATTGAGGGGCGAGCTGCATATGGGACCATTCTGATGCCACCGTTACGCTGTGTCTCACTGAATTGCCGGCACTGGCTGGACTCCTCGTGCTCTTTGGGCTTGTCGCCTTCTCGGCGTCGGCGTTGTCGTGCTTCTGCATCGTTGGCGTCCTCGGGCGGTCATGTTCACCATTTGTACCTTTCGAATCACTATCCCCCGCGGCTGGTGTTCGCTTTCCCGAGTCATCATGTCTTGCGTCTGCGGACTGTGGACTAGTATCAAGCGTCAGAGGCTCCTTAGCTTGTATTCCCTTGTCGGGTTCGCCAGTCTGCTCAGCCACGGGTCCAGAAGGGGCGTCTACAAAGGCCTCCGTGTCTGACACGTCGTCCGGATCGTCGCTTTGGTGTTCTTGCACCGGAGGCTGTCTCTTAGGTTTCCTCACCGGCAACCCGAATTCGTCCACATCTGGCTCATCAGCCACGGCTGGCGAGCTGTCTGGTCTGACTGCAGTGACCGCCCCGGACACCCGATCATTCTCCGCTGGCGACGATTTAAGAGTCTCCCCAGGCATCGTGTGGGGAACTTCATCTGCGCAGATGCACGCGCTGAACAGAATGATACGATAGGCGTGCAGCCCGGTTCTTGCCGCGGTCAGATGTCTCGAAGAACAGAGGCAGCCTTGTGGCTTGGGTGTTCAAACAAACGTCGTCCGCAAGCCCAATAATAAGTAAAGCAGCAGCCAAAAAGTCCTTGATGGGCAGCGCATGCGTACGGGGGTCATAAGCCTGGCCCAAGCGCGCAAACCCCTGTGGCCAGCACGCCGTGACGGGCCTAGTCCGAGCGAGCTAACTGTACAAGTACAATGAGAGCCCGCAAATCTGCGTGAGCCTTTAAGCCAGGAGATCTTTGCCGGAGGGATGTCGACCGTCTTGCTCTGGTCGCGCAGACGATGTGGTGGCCGGCACCGTCGCTGCCAGTGCTCGTCGCCAAGACGTACGTAGAGAATAGAGGATCCCAAGCGCGAATAAGCTGTGAAAGCAGTGTTTTCTTATGTTGCCGTGACACTCTTGTTACCTTTCTCGTCTCCAAGACAAAGCCAAGCGGGGGGAGCGTTCCCAGCAGGAAAAGATGATCATCACACATCTTTATCAACATTTGATCACCCAGTCCTTCCAATGGCGATGGTTATTATCTACGATGCCTCCTACTCGCGGCCCGGCCATGTACCGCGCCTGGGGCCCCAGATCGTCTCTTCGCGTATCCAACCTTTTTCTCCGGTGCCAAGGAAATTCGGCTCCGGCTTAATATCAACCACCATCTAATTGACAGGAATGAGCAAGGACGCCGCTTGATCACTTCACTGTGTTCCAAACTAAGCTGATTTTATTTCGGCTCTATAGGCAGCAAAATGTGCCATGAAGTATAATCGATTAACGTGCTATGTATTATACATGCTTCGCTAGAACTGCAGCATTCAGTGATCCCCAATCGGAGCCAAGACGTTTCAGGTTTGCTCTTCTACACATGCAAAGTGTTGCTACGCTTTTCCTCCAGTCTCCTCTTCCAATCGTCCAAGCAGGGCGCGAAGAAAAGTTCTCCTGTCCAAGCTTTCATCGCAGTGCCGGTAGCAACTACCATCCACAGCAGGACAACCGCAACCGAAAAGATGGTCCCCAGCACTTTAAAGACCAATGAAGGTAGTTCGAGTGCAAGAGTCGTCGTGGCAACAGAATACACGCCAAGAGGGAAAGTGAAACCCCACCATCCAATATTGAAGGGAAATTTGGATCTTGAGATGGAAGCCACTGCAAAGAAGAGCCAAACGAGGCCAAAGCCCCACATAATCAAGCCGAGCAGCAGCCCTCCAACGTATGCAATTTGGCCAGCCATGGGAGCGAGAGGAACGTTCCCTGTTTCCGGTATGATTCGTAAGGCGTCCTTGCCGAGCTGCATGATGGCAAAAGCTCCTTGGCCGAGAGGGCCTAGAGGGAGGAATACTGAGACAATGACTTCTCGGGGTGGAAGTGCGTGCATCGTCAACCTATGGAAGTACATCACGAGAGTGAACATGGCGAGAGGAACACCACAGCCCCACAGGATGTAGCTGATAATTACGGTCCATAGCGCATGTTGGGGGTTAGGCAGAACCGTCGCAAGAACGCCTCCTGTTGCCGAGGAGACGATGGTCGCCACGATTGGCAGCAGCCAAGCCGCAGTCATTTTGGATAATTGTGTCTACGCCCTGATCAGATTTGGAAAAGCAATCGAAACCGGCAACACCTTACCTCGTGTTTGTACATAATGATAAACGGCATGTATAAGTTTGTAGCCAAAGCCGCAACGACATCAATCCACCAGAGCGTCCATGCGAATGTTGCAACCCAAGAACCCCAAGCAGGAACGCAAACCTTGCACATCATGTTGATTATTGTAGCTAGGCCCATAGGGAATGTTCCTGGAAACGGGTTAGAAAACATGAGTAAAAGATGTGGGGAGATAGACGAACCTAAAAATAATGACTGGACCGGATGCCTGATCATTGCGGACCATATGCCTGGGTAGAGAGTGTATCTTATAATCGAAATGACCGTGAACAGCACGAATAGGAAAACGTTAAGTGCAAAAATAATAACGGAAAGCCAGTAAAGCCAATCTCCATTATAAGGAAGCCCATACAGCAAGATGGACGCAATTCCTGTGCCCATCGTGACGGAAAACCACGCAGGCGTGAAATTCGTGACAATACGTCGCCATCCATGTCTTGTCTTTTCGAGCTCCGCTAGTAGCTGATCCAACTCCGAGTTGGTGATATTGTGAGCAACATCCTCAACGGGGACAGCGCACACGCCCTCAGAAGCACCAGATGGATCCATAGCAGGCGCTTAACGAAGATATTGAGAGGAAGAGGATGACATGAGAAAGAAAATTTTTGAATGTTGGAGGAAAAGTGAAGCCCGAGACGGCGTTCATTCAATTATAGTTTGCGGGACCCTGAGACTTCGGATACGACCTGTTACTCACACGTCCCTCCACCCGGCGCGAGCAAATTAGATCACAGGCCTACAATATATTGTAAAAGCCTCTGCATGCCTCTAAGCTTACTATGATGGAGACCAGCGTTTAGAAGCAGGACAAGCCTGAAGTTCATGATGAGAGGGTCTGTTGTTGCCAGAAATTTCTGCCTCGGTCAGTTAGACAGGAATCCAAATCGAGACCAACCTAGCGGCTTTCGGACCGAAACAATGACGTAAGATGGGCATGTGGTAAGCAAACACATTGTCCATCCAGAGCGAATCCGGTAAGTTATGAGCCATACAAAGTCACGAGCACAAACTTCTAACTTAGCTAGATTAAGAAGGATTCGGGAATAAAAAGCACGGGAATAGCATGGCCCATTTCCAGGCTTGCTTTGCTTCTAGCAACATTATGCAGCTCTGTCATCATGCGTAGAGGCATTAGACTAGGTATGATCAGACGAGCGGCTCAACTATCCGCCCACAGGGCGCAAATCACTTTGCAGCCCATCATAGCGAGGCGAGGACTAGGAGAAACTACGGCGGTTCATGTCGCTTATTAGACTTTCGATGCTAGAGGGATCATTGAAGATACCTGGCTACTCCGTAGTTTCACCACTTTGGCAAAAACATAAAGAAAAAAAAAAAAAGAAAAAAATTATCTCAGCAGGCTCAGACCCTCAGAGGGCGTTTCGTGCCTTACCCTATGGGGTAAGGCTTTTCGCACTAAACTCCTTTAAACTCCTGCACCAATTAGATGCCGTTATTTCGAAAACCCTCTGAGGGTCTGAGTGCAAATGGTCGCAGTTTGTTAGTGGATGCAAGACCTCTAGTATGA